TCGTCCACATGTCTGCTAAGTTAACGAAATATTAAGATCGTAGATATGTACCAGACGCATTTGCAGCCTTTACGCCACACTGATTAAATACATAAATCACTTACGTGCATAGTATAATCAGTGGGACCACAACGCTAGGAATTAAATTGCTGGCAAGGATATCAGTTGATTTCTGGCCGAAACCAATTCCATGTGATGCTTCATCGGGCTCACTGGAAAATGGGCAATTCAGCAACTAAAGGAAATTCTGCGTGGTCTCGCGCCTACGCAAATCGAAAAATGTCCTGGAAACGCTGCCATCAATTGTTTAAGACTTCTAAGAGTCAGATGACTGAGTATAGTAATCTCACAACTTTCGCCTATTTTGTAATTTAAAAACTAACAGAATGTGACAGCCTTTATTTGGCTAATTTGCAAGCAATTCCTTTGTAACTTTTTAGAGCCAATGCTAATCACTTACCAACCGATCACATCTCAGTTTGAAACTACTGAAAATAAAAACATGATGCAGTAAGTTAATTTTAAGTTTAAATGAACCAATGCTGATCACTTCGTGAATTAGTAAAACATTATTTCGCTGCAAGTAAGAATTCTACACGAGACGTTTAAGTGACTATCTGATAAATAACTGACATTTAACAGCCATTTCAACTCTTTACTGCAGCATTAATAAAAGTTTATCAAATTGAGAATGTCGAAAAAAAACTGTTAGAAATTTTTTTATTTGCCAGTACGTTAATCTAGCAACAAAAAATACTGCTTGTTGGGTTCAAAGTGCCCATTATGATTTGAATGATGAATACTCTCTTTGGTAAAACGGTACAGGAAGCACATTGGAAGTAATCTAGTGATAAAAATTTTCGAATTTATCTTCCTATTTTTTTCATATAACGTTATCTACAAGGGCCTCTTGAGGTGAATTTAGCAATAAATAAGGTCATTTTTTCCCAATTTTAGTGAACATCAAAATTCAGGGGTTAGTCTCTTATTTTAACGTCTTTATGTGTAAAAACCTAACTACTAAGAGCTGTGTTAGCGGACACTTGGACATTTTACAACTAGCAAGTTTTACATTTTAGACTGCCACAATGTCAAGTCAGCCATCAGAGGGTTAGTCATGTCTTTCAACCTTTCGCAATTTGTTTGTTAGCAAGTAAATAGGTTGCCTGTTTGATTTTACGCTCCCTGAAAAAACTCCGTCTCAAAATTGAGCGGTTATGTAAGAAAATGTCATTTGGCAGTTGAAGTTGCAGTATTTTAAGAAACATTTGAACAAATTTACAACACCTGCTGCCCCCGACGCCTCGCGGGAATTCTAGTTGAATGTTTAAGGTCAAAAGATGCAAGATTGGAAGCTACAATTTAAATTAAAAGGAAATTCAGGGGCGAAAATACCAAATACCTCAAAATTTACTGGAAAGTATGTCTTTTTTGTATACTAAAGATCCCATATCCTAACAGATTTAACAGTCGGTAATGCACTCTGAGTTACATGTTCGTGTCGCCCAACCATTGCTGCTGGGGGTGTCATGTAGTGAGATTAATGTGAATAATAGGTAGGTCATGGTATGCGCTTAAAAACTTCACGTCAGGCAAAAAAGTATTGATCGTTGATAAAGCCGAAATATCGTGGAGACAGCTTGTGATAAGCAAGAATTTGGGTGTAGAAACTGTGTGTGAAATGAGAATTTTAAACCATTTCTGCAGAAGGGTGATAAAGATGACTGACAGCATAAATTTTACTTACTGCACCCGTATTTTTGCTCATCGTTCAATTTTACTGTACAGGTTATGCTGTTGAGAACACAATCTTTTACTTGGTAAATTGTCCAGAGGAAACAAATAAAATTTAACTTGCACTATCCTGAAAGGTGATGGGTTCAGCCAATCTGTGAGCTTCAACTGGTAGACTACTTATTCAATTAACGTAGGAACAATTATATTGGCCAGTTGTTACTGGAAGTCATAATTAAAGTTACGAAACAACGAGTCGCTGTTTGTCGCAAACTCCGAAAGCCTAAAAGTGCTATAGCAATGAAAAGAGCTCATAAAATCACCTTGACTTATTTCACCGTTTGTTAAATCATCAAGCCCATGTTTTGGGTGAGACGATTGTAATGGGAAAGAACTTCAAGAATAAACACTTCTAATAATGTCGCGGCCCCAGGTAAGAGGCTGTACGGCACAAAAATCGAATGTGCTGGTCGATTCACTTTTAGTTAAGCGCAGGTCTTCACAACTGCCACATTGTTGTTATACAAAATTCAACTACTCTCATTTTCATGTTTAACGGATGTTTTCTGATGGGACAAATTTCTACAGATACCACCATTTTGTCGTTCTCACTTCTCTCACAAGTCCACCTTTTTTACTTTTTAATCCTGTCACTAATTTAGGCTGCACCTGTAGTTTGTGCCCACTACGGTCTACAAATTACAAATCTGAGGTTAAAGATGGTTAGATTCAAAAGCCAGTAGGTGCAAGCTGATTAATTTAGTCTTTATACTGATTGTAGAACAGATAAAAATACATTTATCTAAAAAAATGATCTCAACTTTGTTTCAAAACTGGACACCGGCTGCAACTAGTTATCACTTTGATTCGTGTTAAAGTTAAGTCACCCCAAGACCAAATTAGTACAATCTAAGCAATCGAGAAATTTGAAACAGTTAATTTTGCAAAGGAAAATGTTCATTCTGCTGACAGAAGTTTTCAAAAATCATTGCTCTTTTATTTGAAATCAGTGGTTTAAGTTCAATTATATAAACAAACGTACGTTAATAGTATATATATAGCAAAAAAACAATTCAAAAAGGGTTTTAGATGGCTCTATTTGTGGCAAGCTACTTGCAAACTCGAAGCAAATTCTTAAAATTCGGCCATTTATTTGTTTTTAAAGCAAAATGGAAGTGTGTGCGTGTATGAACTCGTCTATCTAATTTCTAACTTATTCTGATTAGATTTATCTCTATACTCAGGCTAGAAGTATTTACTGTTAAAACAGGACTGATTTTCAAAATCTGATATTAAATTTTATCTAGTTTTAAAGCAACTGTTTAAAGCCAACTGAACTAATTGCGTCTAGAAAAATGCGTCAAAACAATAATGCAATGAAGGTTTTTTATACAATTAAAGTCTTCCCCTTCTATTTGATCAATTGTATCAAAGTTTCCTTCTGCTTGTTGCATTTTCATAGTTCCTGCTAAAAATTATTTAAATTTACAGATAATGGACGTTCAAACTCTCACACTGAAGTAAGCCAGCCAAAACCCGAAGAGGCCAATGAAGGGTAAATTTAATTAATACAAATGAAGCAGTTTTATTTTCTTCCATAATTGACAAAAATAACCAACCATGTTCGATTCACGTTTAATCCAAAGGCTTGAGCGTACTACACTCACGAGGCTAAACAGATTGTATACATTTATTAATCTTTGATAGTATTGAAAGCGACAATTTAGGTCGTTTATTTTACCAAATCAAATAGTATTTGGTTAGCAAATGCATTATTTGGGGTAAAAATACTATTACCAACAGTTCTTTGCATGCAGAATCCCCAGTTAACATAAACCTTCTAATTCTAACTTGTTTTAAAAATTGGACCTTACAAATACCGCCATATATAATTATGCGACCTTTGTCGACATATTCTTTAAGAGTATCTTCCTAGCAAATTCAGATATTGAAAGAAATATAATTCAAATTTTCAGACGTATTTAAAAATGAGTCAAAAAATCTTACACAAACAGATTTTTTCATACATCCAAAATATATTATTAGTCGCATACTTATGTTTTAACGTTAAAGCCATTTAAAATTGTTTTTCTTTCTAGAAACGAAGAACATTTTTAGCCTAACATTTGGACCCTCTGGGGTTACGTGAGAGAAGTATGCAGCAACAGAATTCAGACCGCAAATTTGTGATTTTCAACAACTTTTTTTGAGTTGTTTGCTAGAAATTCCAAATAGTAGCTACAAACTTGTTTTAGCCCGAATTGCTCAATCTTTTGTCTTGCCTTTGAAAATGTTTAAACTAGATACCACTATATCCTTTAAGAAAATAATACTTCAGCACAAACTTTTGAACCAGTGTCTCTCTACACACTGTTTTCGATAAAATCTCAAGATGGTCAGTATATAGACAGCAGCTAACGTTTAACTGACTTCGCAACATCGAAAGTGTGAGCAAGTAATAAAAGAGGGATAAATTTGAAAAGTATTCTATTTCTTTGCGAAAAATAGGCAACACGAAATATAATTTTGACAAGATTTCGCAAAAATGGGTGTCATTTTAATACAATTTGATGAAAAAAGAGCAATTATGTATTTAATTACTTAAAGAAATCACTGCCTGAAATAAAAAATCTGGACATTGCTAAAAATTCTTTACCCAAGAGCCTTCTTATAAGTCAAAAATGGGCACTAGGTTGAACAATTATAAGGCGTTCATGTATTTTTACTAATTTCATGTTTTGTCCTTTATATGAAAAAGCACAATTATTAGTTAAATAATAAATTGCTTTTGACAAGAACGGACGTCCAATTCTCAAGCTTTGTCGTGAAACATTTTAAAGTCACAACGCATGTTAAAATAATTGAAACTCACAGACCTTTACCTAGATAATTCAGAAAAGCTGCCAATCACTCGACCTCATTTTAGAAACATTATAAATTGCCAATAAATTATTACGCTTCATTAAAGAATTAAATCAAAATATTTAAAACTAACATTTTTACTTAACATATAAAGGTTACAAAATGAAAATATAAATTTTGAATTTTAGGATGTTTTTTTTTAACAACATCCAACAGCATTAGACAAGATTTCTCGTTTACAGCAATGTTTTTTTTTCTGTGTTAATTTTCAAGGTCTCATATCTGTGTTTTTTTAAAAATAATTTTAGAGGGTTGGGATCCATGCGTTAAGACGGCAATAAGCGTCAGATAATTTTCTCTGTTCTGTAGCCCTTACAAGCAGCAATTTGTTTGGGTTGTAATTGATGGCTCATTATCTCAAGAAATTGCAAATCAAGCTTGGAATTCGGAGGCCACCTTGGCCCGAAAACCGCGAAATCCCTGTTGGACCAATTTCCCAGAGTACTTACATTTCTGAACCATGGCCTCTCTCTAAGCTATATGGCAATAATCAAATTAGTACTTCGAGATACACATGGTATGGTTTCATCTTTCAAAACCTGGAGGAGCAAGCACAGCGTATTGCAAATTTTTATTTTCTCTGTATCGCTATCGTCCAACTTTTTACGGATTCGCCAGTTTCGCCGATAACATCAATATTGCCTCTTGGATTTGTGATCTTACTCACAATGGCAAAGCAGGGATATGAAGATTTCCTGCGTCATAGGGCCGACAGAGAAATAAATAATGTCCCCGTTCAAATCGTAAATTCAAATGGTGAACTCTTCACAAAGAAAGCTTTTGAAATAACTGTTGGCGATATTGTTCTGCAACGGTCTAATGATACATTCCCCTGTGATCTCATTCTCTTAAGCTCCAGCGAAAGTAATGGTGAATGCTATGTTACAACTGCCAGTTTGGATGGAGAAACCAACCTCAAACGTTTTATTTCCGTGTCAGCGACTAGGAACCTCGATTCTCCAGAGACTCTTGCGTCACAACTTGAAGGAAAAGTGATTTGTCAACAACCCATTGATGATTTTTATAAGTTTCATGGTAAAATTGTTTTAAAAGTAAATGGGGCTGAAACCACCCAACCACTTGGTCCGGAATGCCTTCTTCTCCGAGGTGCTCGACTCCGAAATACAGACTTTGTTTACGGAGTAGCTGTGTATACTGGATCTGATACAAAAATGTCTCTTAACTCAAAGGGAAAGCAAACAAAATACTCTCAGGTAGAGAGACAGCTGAACACTTTTCTCCTTGTCATCTTGGGCATTCTAGTGTCAATATCGGTCTTATATACCATCCTTGAGTTCTCACTCCGTCCTAACACTGCTTGGTACATTAATCTTTCGAAACCCACTGCATGGATTGTTGTGCAAGATTTCCTTGGATTTCTAGTCCTCTTCAACTACATCATTCCAATATCTCTCTATGTTACAATCGAGTTCCAGAAGTTCTTCGGCTCTATGTTCTTTGGGTGGGACGTCCAAATGTATGACAAGGAAATTAATGAACCGGCACTGGTCAACACATCAGATATTCTTGAAGAGCTAGGTCAGGTATGTCAAGTCCTGGCGTTATTTTAATTTCTAACTGAATTTTATTATATAATACAGGCCGCCTCATAGCTTTTTCCAGGAAGTAGCCGTAGTTACCTTGATAAATCGTTGTTTTCATTTTAGGATTTCAGTATTTATCTTTTGACCAGCTAGAGACTTGTTTCTGAATTAAAACACTTTTTTAGCTAAATCCCAATGATTGCCAGAAGAAAATTCTGCCTTCTTAGGTGTTCAAGGTACTAAGTGCGTAGCATGATCTCAAATAGTTTGTGTCTATTCCGTGAGTCATGTGTTTAGGTTACTCGAATTGGACATTTTCCGTACTTTGTAAGTGGGCGCCAAGCAACTAACGTGTTACTTCTGGTAAGATTTTAGGGACGTTTTGTTAATTTTTACCACTTTGTACTTTCACTTACCACTTTGTCTAGTAGATTGGGTTTTTTTTCTTGAAATCATAAGTTAGATTATGCAATCCACCCCATGAACATGTATTTTTATGTTCCGCTGTATTTTTGTATCTTTATAGCATGCATTCAAGTAAACTGGGGCCCCTGGTCATACCATAATCTTACCAATATCAAGCAATTAAGTCACGATGTCTCTCTTAAACCTCGCGAATTTTTGAAATGTATAGCTGGAATTAGTAATAACCTTAGTCAGTTTCATAGGTATCTTCATAAATGATGTATTAAAGAGTTGGTGTTTGATTTTGTATGAAAACAACGTGTAAATAATATTACTTTGTACAAATACATTTGCAAATGTTTCACTCCAAATAGTTTGCTGAAATGACGAGCTATTCAAGCTTCAGCAAGCAAATTTTTTCGAATTTACAACGAGATACTATGATGGCAAAATATTCCACCAAGTGTCTGATGTTTTAAATATAGTTTCGGTGCTGTGTGCAGCAGTCAAATGATAAATGGGGTATCGTGACTTGTGGCGTGGCCATTCGTTCGCGGGGCACTACAACGGTAAAAATTGCAGTCGACTTCCGTTCGCACATTCGACTTGAAATCCAATCCAAGAGAGCAAGGTGAATTGCACAAGGGTATTTTAGTAGAATTAGACCTCAAAATATGAAAATTATGGCTTTCTGGGCATCGACACGATTCATGAGACTTAAAACAAGCCGAATTTCTTTTAATTTTTACATTCTATGTAGTCGTAATCGAATTAGGTCTATCTTATTGGAATCCAAACATGTCTGCAATGAGTCACTAATACTAATACAAGTTGATTAAAATTCGGTCCCATACTACCCGTAAATGCCAAATGCGAAGGCGGTGTCAATCACCGCTATTTAATTGAGTATCGTTGCACCAATTACCTTTAGATGTAGAGTTGATGAAATAGGCATTTTGGTTCTGACCGGAATGTAATCTTGTGGTGGACCTTGCCGCACATTTTAATGCTATCCATATACACGTATGTTTGGATTGAACGGTGTTTGGTTTTGTTTTGCCGAACTCCTTTTACGAGCATAGTTTCTGAAAAAAAGTTCTTCATTATTGATAAAGCTTTTGTGTATTCATGATAGGGTAGGCGAACAAGCACTTTAGCCACAAAACTTGTCATTAGTCGTTTCGGCTCGATTGTAGGCTCACCTGCAGTTCCATCCAGGATCCCCACGCTTGAGGTGGCACAATTACTCACAATTCACACAATTTACTTGATTTAAGACATCAGACAATTATAAATTTTACCAACATTCGGCAGTTAGGATGTCATTTTACTACAAGGCGATTTTCATAATGTAATGCAAGAATTATCAAACTCCAAGTTTTATGATTTCTTCCTCAGTTTTTGGCTTTTGTTTTCTTGTTTGCATTGTTTGTATCCTTCGCTACTTTACTTTGGAATCAAATCATCTTTGTGCTATTTTGATGCTTATAAGAATAATCCCATGCTTTCGCTCTGTTACCTTACACCAACTTGGTTATGCATGGTCATACGGTACCTATTTAAGTATGAAATGCACCGTGAGAATGTGATGTATGTGCAGCAAATTGGACATCTCGGGCTTAAAAGGGCCGTTTTCAATTTGGCAGACCTTGAAATGCCAAGAACTACTTAACTCACAGGAATTCTGCTTCTTTCTAGTCTTAAAATGGTCAACAATATGGGTTTTGTCAAATAATTTTCTGCTGCTATTTACTTATTATACTGTTCAGATTTGTGAGAATTAAAGGGAATGTCAATTAAATGAAAGTTCAATCCTTCACAAACCATCAAAACAGGTCTGATATAATGGTGCGTTGTTATCTAATGTAGCTTTGCCCACCCAAATTACTTTTTATCTTTAAAAGTTGTCTTTTCACTTTCTTGCATTAACTACGCCTAGGAGACAAATATTTTCAGAAATAGATACTCTGAAGCCCAATTAAAAATCCTTTGTAGGGTGCCTAAGTCGCCATATATTGTGCGACCTTAGATGTCTCTTCCAACGTTTAACGAAGACTGACTTCTGCTTCTAATTCAATCGCTTTTTCCGGTTTTTTAGGCTAAGTTTTTAAATACGTGTCCAGACACTTACTGAGACATTAAATAAATCCGCAAAATTGGTTAGATTCCACTTTCCTGGTTAACAGAGATACCTTCGTAGCCCTGATTTGCTTAGTTAACTATGTTTGGTCTGTTTTGTCTTTGAAAAAAATTATTCATGAGGCGAAATCTTCATCACCAAGGGCTTTGGTTTTGTAGTGCCTCTCCACTTGGGAATCTTTTCAACCACTTATGAGCTAAAATGTTGGATTTTCATTTTCACTATTCCCTATGACTTCTTACGACAGCAAGTTTGCGACTTTTAGTAGAAAATATTAATCTTAAAGCGTAGAAATGATGTTCTCAGTACACTGGATTATCTGAGCTCTTGATAAGTGAAACAGCAGTTAAGATCCTTCAGCCTTATGGAACCCTTCAAAACGGTCGAAAGCCACTATTATTCTTATTTTTATGAAATTATATGTGATCTTCTTTAAACTACCATTATTTGGATTTAAAAAAAAGAAGGGACGAATTAAAGACTAAAGTTCAAAGACTGCTTAGCACATCACTTAGTAAAGGAGGTATGGAATTAGTAGATAGTCCAAGTGTTTGTCATAATTTTTATAATTCACTAGAGCTCCTCATGATCGTCTCTTCACAAGGTGAAATACTAATGGATTACACAATAATATTGCTCACAAGTTTTATTAAGATGCTTGATTTCTTAAGTAAAATCGAATTTGAGAAATTTCCTGGTATTTCATTGTTGTTCATGTCTTTTGTATTTTAATAGGTTTCACAGAATCACTTTTTTGTGCACATTTCTAGGGATGTTTCTAATGCGGCTCTTTTAATTTAAAAAAATTATGCTTTGTGATCAAAAGTTTGGCATCTGAGCTGCCGGCGGGCACGGTTTTTCTTTGTTGAACATCGTCGTATCCATTAATGTGCAAAATAATCTTTGACAAAATACGGAGGAAGTGTAGTAAGTTGAATCTGAATGAATTAAGCGTTCAGACGAAGAAGCATTTCGGAGTGTTTGGACGGCGAACTAAATTAGGCCTGATTCCTAGCCGAGATTGCTACTCGTTTTTCTGCCTTTCAAGCCCCGGCCACTCCACAATCAGCTAATCTTGGAGCAGTTGGCAGTTTTTTAAAACCGTTTTTCACTTTACTTTTACTTTATCGATTGACCGATTTCTAAAGACACCATATGACCTAACATGCATCCCCAATTTCCAGGCCTGTCTTTCATAGTTGTCGCGTAGGCACTGCCGGACATGGCTGACACGCCCACATAACCAAATGAGCTTGTAAATTCTGAACAAGTGATGCAGTTACTTTGCGAATTTATTCATTCTCCCAGTAGTCGACAAGATTTCCTTGGCTTGCTGTTTTCGTTTACCCTAGCAGGGTCCAAGCTTTTTGTTTCGTTTAGACTAGTTAAATGTGCAAATTAAGCACTGAATTTCTTCGTAGCAGGGGCTGTATGTTACAAGTGGTTTATAGTAAGAAATGGTTTTTTAAGGAGAGTTTTGATTAACTTGCGTTTCTTCGTTGAATTTCATTCCACCACTTCATTTTGAGGCCGACTGAACAGAACGGTATGACCCCATTCGCATTGGAAGACTTTATTGCCATCCGCTTAAGACTACAAACGAAGACGTTTTATGCCTCACCGTCACGCTTATACAGAAATAGTTTGTTTACTAACGAATTTTTTTGGGATTATATCAACACTGTATGGCATTTCTTTGTGTTAATAGTGCAATATGTACTCACTAAATTTAATAGTTATCTAATGAATGATGTGTGAGCTGAAAAAGCATACACTAGGTAGTGAAATTGGTGACTTGCAAACATTCGCTTGTTTTCTTCATGATCTAGGAAATTGCAAGGCCACCTTTTTTATGTGCAGTATGCTCGTTCTAGGTCAAGTTGTTCCCTTGCATAGTACTCACCCCGGATGATCCCTTCTGCATTTCACAGCTAAACTATCCTCTGTGTTTGCCACGCATACATGCACTTCCTGCTGATCATTATGCTAATTTACTGCTTTTGTGAATTACATTTCCTAATTACGGATAAAGTTCGCGGTGTTCTCAGAATATTTAATTATATAGCGGAAGTATTAATTTCTGAGGAAATTGAGATCACATTAGTTACACTTTTAAAAAGATTTCGCTTGTCTAATGGCTCGATCAGATCCCTTTTAGATAATTTAACAGCTAATGGGGTGCATAGGGTACTTAACACCTCAGCCAGAGTCAGTGAATTAAGCGACTTTGTATGTTTGCTCTCTGCTAGTGCATTTGTATTCATAGGCCTTAACATGCTTCGTCTGGATTGTGTTGGTCGTCGTTTCTAAGCGTTCCTCCCACATTAAAATAATAGCAATAATAATAATAATAACAGTGTAAGATTCCACTGTTGAGATACGCCGAATAAATGTTGAGTAAAGTAAAATACATTAATTTAGCAAAAAATTTGCACTAAGTTTTTGGTATGTATACAAACCAAGGTTTTAATTTATAACCGTGACTAACGTGACTAACTTGCACATAGCCACTTCGATCCACGTACATTTTTCCTTTAAACCGAAATCTCAGTGATATTTGATAGCGTGCTATTTTAGGCCACATTGAAGAGCTTATCGTTGAGTAACTAACGTTCAATCGCTTTACGTCATGGCATGCCCGGCACTTGCAGTGTTTCAGTGTTTTGTGTTTGCGTGGGTATGGCGTTTTCTGGGTAACGCCCATGTCAACATCAGGTAAGACATTATGCGTGACTTCGCGCAGAGGGCATTACTTGTCTCCACTTCACCATGTCCAATGACCACAACCGGAGTTGTGGTGTGGTACAACATCAACTCCAAAAAGGGGCCCACAACGACTGCTGTATGTCCGAGCGAATCTAAACTTTAGACGAGGGGAAAGAATTTGCTTACTTCTTTCCGTCTTTAAAGTTCCCACCTTTCTAACTGTTATTTCTTTAGCGTAGTATGCTTTCATTCATGTTGACACTGTATAAAAGCATCAACAAAATCCGTAAACACATTTAGGTGCTTGTGGGATCATTATGTTCGTATTTATTGCAATAACAAACTGGCTTTTGGAAGTTGCTGGGTTGTTTGCATAAAAAAACTTGAAAAAAACTACACCCTAGAAGTGGCAAAAAATTTGGTACAAGTCGTCGTACTTTTTCCATGTGATAAAAACTATTTTCGTACGTAATTAATATGCCCAAATTTGTCTTGGAAAGTTGAAACCATCCTTCCATGAAAGTATTTCCATCCGGCTGAGCACGGAGCCGGCTTGGTGTGAACGGTATCCATGTTGCTGTAGCTATTAGAAATTAACTCGTGGCAATTCAAACGTTCCAATGTTTTTTTTAAATCGCGTCACATTTTTTGCATTATACCGAGCTTTATTTGGGTGAGCGAAACAATTGCTAATAGTGTAAAATTATGTTTATCGAGCTGGACACTCAAAAGGCTTGCGTTTTAAGTCCAGACAAACAGATTATTCGTTTCAAATGAAATCAGGTTTATTCCGCTCTTTCATTGGTCAGCAGTGGCTGTTTTATTTTAGAAACGTAAGATTTAAACAATATTTTGTGGAGCTCAACCGTGGAGTACCTTTTGCAAAAAGAAAAATCCCTTGCATCCACCTTCAATATGATTCAGAGAAATTAAATGTAATCAGTCACTGTTAAATTGTGTGCAAAACAGCAGTTCCGGTGTGGTCCGTGTCCTCCTGTTTACTTTAATTTAAGGAATTCTTCTCTGGTAGAATGGCCAATAACTGTAAAATGGGAGCTAAAGTATTCTGAACTTTAAAATTTGATGCACTAATCATGCGGGTTTTTTTATCACAGTGCAGTTAATTCCAAGCTGTGTTTTAGTATCATCTTAATTCCGGAATTAAACACTAGCAGTAGATTCACAAAGTTGCTGTGCCCTGCTCCCCGAAAACACTAATGTCTCTCGTACAGGTATCTCATCATAATTGTCCCAAGCAATATGTTTAATTGAAGATCAACGTCCAATGTGAATGCAGGAGCACAATTTTCCAGAAATTGGCTAGGCGGCTAACATGTTGCAAAAGATTGTTTTATGTTATTTGCTAACCATGAATTTGGTGCTTGGCTGATATATGGACAAGCATCTAAAAAGGTCATACTTGCGTCCTCATTTGTGAACATTGATTGGAAAGCAACTCATTTAAGTGCTCGTACTTTGTTTCATTCCATGCCAATAAGGTGATAGAATAGTGCTATGTGCATCGTACCAAAATGTTGTTTTCACCTCTGCTGAGAGTACATCTTTCTAATCAGGCACAGTTCTAAGGACCAAAGTCCCACAATTTTCCAGCATCAGTTAACCTGAGTACAGGCATGTGCTTTTTCCAAAAAAACGCTTCGTGTTCTATGCACATCTCGGAGGTAAGTTGAAAACGGGGCTCTAGTAAACGTAAAGGACATAAATCACATTAAGACGCTATCTAAACTCCAAAATACTAATTGTCAATCAAAATACTGCAATCGAGCTTGCCAATGTAGATAGCATTTTGATAACTGGGTCTCTGGGCGTAAGAACGGATATTGAAGTTGGTGACATCAATTTATTAGGTACAATATGGAAAAAAACTTCTTGATTTAAGTTCTTTTTAATCGGAATGTATCATTTTTTTTCACATTTCACGTACACTGCGCCTAGTATCTTTTAAAATTAAAATTCTTTAAAAAGTATGGAAAAGGGTACTACAGAATGGTTGTTCGTCAGGTCACAATAGCTTCTTTCTGCGTCTATTTGTATCGGCAATCGTATGGAGGTTTGACATTGCGTAACAACATGTAATTTTCCAGTGGTTTGTTTAGAATCGCCTTTTTGTTTCGCCAAAAATATAGTTTTGCACTTTCTGTCAGCTTCAATTTTGTGGAAATGTCGAGGCCATGCACAAGGTCAGAATGTGTGCTATTTAAATAAAAAAACAGAAATAAATTTTAAATTTTGTATTTTTTAGGTAGAATATGTGTTTTCGGACAAGACGGGTACTCTAACAGAGAACTGCATGGTCTTTCAACGCTTCTCTGTGTCCAGTGGCACATTTCTTGCCCGTGACAACAAATTATACCCTCTCATGCCCCAACGTGTCTCCTCCATTGTCGACATCCAATCTCCAAGGACATCTGGCCGGGGCATCAGAGGCAAAGACATGCCCGAGGATGCGCGAATCCTCTTCACGATCTTGGCCCTCTGCCACACCGTCCGTGTGGAAAACGACGAGGAGCTTTCAGCCAAGACACCCTCAAGCGCCCTGGATCCCCTACCTGAGGTGGAGTCTCACAAAATCAAACTGAGGAAGCCCCTGCACATTATCTCCGATGTGAGGGCACGAAAAGCACCGCCTAAACGCCAAGCCAGCCTAATGCGACGGGCCTCGGCCATGCAGTCCGCCGAAGCCGCCATCTCAAATGTGAGGAGGGGCAAAGGAACCTTTAGAACCAACTATGACTACCAGGTATATCAATTTCTAGCCTAGATGCCTGAATAACTTGCAGTGGAAAACAAAAACACATCTATAAGAGTAATATGTTTGGAAATATTCCAGTTTTTGAGAAGTAAATTTGTGCTGTGGCTCCCTCACTGTTCCCACTGTTCTGGTTGCAATGAAGGGATCGGTAGAGCTAGATTACGAACAACGACAGACAAAATTGCCACCGCCCATCACTTGCAAACCATTTTCGTGTCAAACAAGTGACACAAAAATGCTTTTCCCCAACGAAAGGTCAAAAGTCATGTTAAACTGGATACAAGTCATGGCTTTTTTAAATCAATGCCCTAGTGCATTCAGTACATTTAAGCGTGAATCGAATGTTCTAAAAACTAACAACTTTATTGAGTGTCCGCAAAGAAACCTATTTATATCTACCTAATCTTCTGAAAGACATTGAGTCTATGGCTTGCATAGTAGTCCTTCATTATAGGAGAATCACGCGAAAAGCCACCTAACTTTACAAATGCTTTACTTTGGGTACAGCGTGCCTTACCGATCTTCCATCTCATTCCCAGTTAAATTAAGGTTTTTAACAAGCCAATGCTATTGTTACTGCGTGACTACTTTCTTTAATAAACAATGCCTTTTGGAAGGAATTTTCACGTATGAACCCAAGAAAAATCGCGAGTTTTAGTTGTTTAAAATGTTTAATTGGGTAATCCTATATGCTATTTAGATATCCTTTTAAGTTGTTTCTTCTGGTAATAGGCTTCTTCCAAACCAGTCATTATGTCGTATAGCTAATATCAATAGAATTAGCTCTATTCCTTCTGAAAGTTTACCAGTCCTTATTTAGCCCACGGAGAGACCTTGATGAGATATCTGCTTGTACAATGTCGCAGGGGATTGTCATTTTGGTTGACAAGTTTACAAGTTGGTTCACTAGTTGACATTATGTTCAATCAATTATTCAACCCACGTTAAATTTGTTTGACATAGTGATCCCTGGTTTTTCCGCTTTACAGAAAGCAATGTGAGTTATTAGATGGCCAATTCTTGTCTACATTCCAATGGCAGTGCGTTAATTTATCGCACCTGAATGTACCTATTTGTAAGTAGAATTCAGGCTGTAAATGTGTACGAAGCTTGCTGTTTATTTTGAAAATTGTGGCAATTTCTGTAATAAAAACACCCTGAGATGATTAAGCGTCCTGATGTTTGTTGTCAGAAGGTAAATGAAACAGTACGTTTGTGACTTAGTTTGGTGTAGGAGTATTAGAGCCTAACTGATAATTTTTAAAATATATAGAATAATTAGGCACAGGAATCTTTGGTTTAACTATGGCCGTTGTATCGATTGTTTATTTAATTTTGGTAAAAACATCGGATTCTGCAAACTCTGATTTTTTGCCAGAGTTTCTTGTTAAACTGAAAAAAAGACGCGGCTTGAATTGACAGTACTTGACTCCAACTTGCATCGCGCAATTGATGGCAGATGGTCTTTGCAAGAGAAAACAGAAACAGACGTCGTATATAGGAAAATTCCTCTTTAGTTGCGTGGATTGAAATCACACTTAAATATCTGCTTTCAAATGCTCGTGAGTGGTCATTCAGTCACTAACACTGACACTGAGGGGTATGTAATGCAACCCACTCGATAAAAGTGGTCTCGAGCTATACTTTCTGTCGCCATCTTACCACCGTAAAAAGGTTACCTTCGCGTTTGTGACTGTGATCAATTAATGGCGATTTTAGGTTCAATTTGGATCCAAAGTGTAGCTCAGGGTTACGCGTCTGTCTAACAATGAAATATACAACTGTCTCCTAAAGTTTAAGCACAAACCCTTTACAGTTATTGACCACTGGAGGTTACGTTACACCTGGGAAATAATTCCACCTAAGCATTTTATGAATGCAACTTTCTACCAGTCAAGAAGGGCCTACATTGATCCTAAGGCAATCTAAATTCTTTACTTGCAGTTCATGCTTCAGTAATAATAAGCGAAAAATGAACACTTATTGAAAATCGTTATGGGCTTTCCAGCGTGACTTGAGTGCCAAGGGCTTAGTTAAGTCTCGTCTGTTGCTCTTCTTATTTGTGAACAATGCTGCGTGTTTTAATGAAATTAGGTCGCATGATTCATCTCAAATAAGCATCCTAAGACTGCCAGTCATTCTCCTACAGGTCAGAAAACATTGCACGAATTATTTTTCGACAACTTTTCCTGGGTGCCTTATCAGCATCACAGCAATTGGTATGAACTCTTGTAGAGATTTGACTGTCTAGTGTGTCTAGACAAAATGGGTGCATTTAAATGTCTGGAAACAATCCAATCGAAGCCTTTTTCCCCCAAAGGTATGGCACAAACCATTCAGACGTTTCTACATTATCATTAACGGGCAGTTGTGCCCATGCATACTTTCGCTAGACAAAATGCCAGTCACACGCGCAAAGGCTGTACTATTTTGGATTACCTTTCCACACTCAAAACTTTATGATTAATTGACGAATATAAATCAGTTTATACATTATGCTTTAGGAATTATGTTTGATAGACTAGTAGTGGTTTTTTGTGTATTAATCCAAAGGTGATCAAGCCTTTGAGAGGCAGACTCTCCGGCACCCAGAAACGATAGCTAGCATCAGCATGTTTTCATGATTCAGTGCTAACGCACCATTCAGTGCCATTTCAAATAAAACTAACGTATTCAAGAAATGTAGTTTCCCACAATAATTCGGGTTCAATAATTGAAACTGTCATGTTCACACCAAACAATTAATTAAATAGCACATTGCCTAGTGAATTTAAAAACTTTTTTTACGTAGTGTCGATATTTTGTTAAGTAAACAAGTATAACGCTGTTGACTTCTAGTTTATTTTAAAAGATGCTGTAGTGTGTGCCTGGGCAGATATTTAAGAGTGTGATACTCAATTTTTAGTTTCGAGCTCAACATGAAATTTGGAGAAGAGCATTTACGTTGCATTTCTGAAAAGTAAACTGTGCAACTAGCTGCGTGGCATCTAAGTGTGGTGAATAAATAGTCGTGAATTCAAAGTTGAAAGGAGCATTATGTATAAAATGTATCTTCGTTAATTTAGTGAGCTTAGCACTCCAGGTTTCACCTTACCTAAAAAATCTCTTTTATAACTTGTTATTTTAACACAGGTTTTTTGATATTAACGGTTGAAAGCTGTAAAAAACGCATTAAACACATCAACCTCAAACAGACAAACCATGTAACGCGCCAGACGAAATTGTCTAAAACACCTATTGAAAAGTGACAGCAATTTACACAGCTGGTTCGGTGTGATTTCATTAGTCTGAAACACTTTAGTTCAAAGGGAACCACGCCACTTTTTCAAATAAACAGCTCCAGAATGGCAACGCAACAACTTCATAAATCTCTACCATGAGATTTACCCTGATAACGTTCGATTAACTTTGTCTTTCGTTATTGGTTAATGTTCAACATAGATTGAATACAGATTTTTTAGATTTACATCTATTTAAAAATATCTAGATAAGTTTAATATTTATCAACATATAGATGGCGACTTAAAAATTGGAGTTTGTTTTTGTTGAGGCCTAAAGTAGCATTTGTAAGATGTCGAACGTATCCGTTTAAACAAAATGTGCTAAGAAGAAAGTTTGATTAGCAAAATTTTCCTGCCTTTTGTGGCATCCTTTGCATCATTTAGATTTTGAAAAAAATAACAGATGAAAGGTTTGAGTAATAAATACATAGTAGTTTTCTGTTACAACTTAGGCCTCTATCGTTTTGTTGCATAGCAACGAATGATGTAACATTGATGGTCACAATAAGCACCAGTATCAGTAAAAAGTCATTTGGTTTGGTAAAACAATTGCCGCTATTTTCGCTTAGTTTTATGCATGTATGTTTACGTAAAATGTGACCCAAACATTGTTAGTGTTACCAAAAGGCCTCAGTAAAAAATGGAAACACCGGATTCTACACAATTTATGTGATTAATCAGCCAAAATCAGTTGGCAAAATGGGGCATTAATTTTTCCATTTTTTTGCCTAGTGTGGACCAGAAAAAAATTCTCAGGAAAAATTAGGGACACTAGCCCCTATTTATGCAAATTGTCTAAATTATTGTCATTTTTATTTTAGGCTTCGTCTCCTGATGAAAAGGCATTTGTTGAGAGCTGTCGTGACTTTGGTATCGTGTACCACGGCGTTGATTCCAGTGGATTTCATGTAAGTCTCATTCTTTCCTATCTACTACTTGCTGAGAGGGATTTATTAATGCGGTGGCAAGTGTTACTAAAAGTGCCCATCAATATCGCTCTCGCAATCTTCTCAGTCACTCTCATCGCACTAAGATGATTGCATAGATACCTGAGGTGGGGTCGGCAGAATAAAAGTTAACAACCGTTTCAATCTCCCAAGACTCTTGTTAAAACCTCACTAAGTTAGACAGCCAGGCAATCCAAATTTACTCTTCTATCCCTCAAAATACAAACTTTTTGTTTCCGCTGGTCCACCGATAGCAGGTCTCTCTGACTCTTTGACTTGTCATTGTGTGTGCATTTGACACCATTTTCTAGCAATACACGCGAACACGTAGCAGCCTTGCGTTGGCAATATCAATAAAATGATGTAATCAGATTGTGCGCGACATGATCCAACTTTCCAGCTGCGGTGAGAGCGCTAACCGCGTCAGTGATTAGTCGTCAATCTTGGCATGTGAGGCATTTGCAGCCTTTGGTGAATGGCAAACAGAAACTGCCAGGCTGCCTCGATGACATGGCAATCAAAGTGTGGCCTTACACTTGCAAAAAAACAGTCATTATTTTGAAACGTTGAAGAAATGTCGACTGACAGTCTACAATTCAGGGAGTCCTTTTGGATTTGATTCCGTTCACTAGAATTTGCACTACGACTAAGGATATAATCGTACTGATTTACGTCAGAGTAATCTGGTTTGGGAGTTAACAAAGGCTGTCTAATTGCGATTGCCTTGCAAGAAGCGCATGTGTTCAATTGCAAGTAGAATCCCAATAATTTTTTTGAATTATTGGTTCCTGGGACGCAACTTGAAACGTTTTCATTATCCTAGGTTAACTAAAATTCTTTCTGAAGTGTTATTAATCGTTTTTCTGATAACCAGATCATTTAGGTCGATACGAATGTTACTAGAATTGCGTCGATTCCAAATTGGATATAGCGTTGTCGTTGAATGAGAATGCTCATGCAGAAAATAGGCAGAAGACTTTTTCCATGGGATATCCATCCACGCCTTCCCCATAATACCTAACCAGAAGCAAGATTTTATGTAAACAATGCATCCTAGCAGGTTTCAGTGACAAATAGTCACTGTGTGTCCATAAGCATTTATAGATTATTGGTGGAAAGTAAACACGATCTGCTTCACCCTCTAAGACGAGTCCGTGGATGACTTTCTGTTACCAAACATGATTACTGCGTATCAAAATAATTGATAAGGAAGGTGAGGGTTATATAAAGCATCATAGTTCATAAGTAAAAAGTTTGCCTGTATGCCATTCCTCGATTCGTGAGTGCCACGCATATTGACGTTAACTCACCTGCATGAATTTCACAATTGACCTGAATATCCGGCATTTTTATGCTATTAAGCGAGCCGAATTTGTCTCAAATAGCTGAATTTGAATGTGGTGGTTTGTGTTCTGTGTCCACCCGATGACCATCAACTCATGGTTATTAGACACATCTATCAATTAAGCAGTCGTTAAGCCGCTTGCATATAAGACTACTCCTTTCACTTTTACACTTACACAATGCTTCTAACAAGAATGGGATTATTTGAATAGGCACAGCAGTTTGCCTGGTCAGTAAAACTGTTATGTTTGAAACAATCCTCATTGTCAGTATTGGGGTCAGCGGAAATGTCACGTGATAAGTATGACAGATTGGCAAGAAAGTTTGAAAGGCTGGTTGGGGTATCTGGCGCTATTGGGAATCAGTCTAACGATTAAAGACGATTTGTGGCTCGGGACCCGATTTTAAAAAGGTGCCAACTGCTTTACCATTCACCGATGATTGGCTGGTTCTATGGTAGAGAAGCAAGTATCACTCTTCTTCAGTAACAGCCATATTTTGTTAGATATCTCAAACAGGTATCTGGTACCTGAATGGGTTCGATTATGCAGTGCTATTCACATATTTTGGTTTATGCTCAGAGCAGAATCAAGGATAGCAAAATTAGAAGCCAGTAGGTGGTGCGGAGACTGAATGGCTCTCGTAGGAATTCAAATTTTTCTAGCGGTATATTCGTGGCACTTTCGATGTGTTTTCTACAATGAGAGTCTTGTTCAAGGTCTGATTTGCCAAAAATCTCGTGTCCAGACAAAATACTTAACGTTTTGTCTCCTTTGGAAACAGCATTAGTCTATGATCGTGCCAGAGCCGAATAGCCACCAATCACCACGTAGAATTCATTCAGCAAGTTTTAATCACTTTGTACAGTGCGAACTAACGCAATGGGAAAGGGAGGCGTGCAAACAAATTTCAAGTTTAGGGATGAAGTTTCGTTATGCACCAGACTGATGAAATGAAGATATTTGGAATGGGACATCTATCTGCAGGTTACATAACTTTGAATCAAACAAAAAAAATTGTTCGCTAGTTTTGAACTCGTAGACGCAAAGAATACAGACGTCATCAGCACTTGGAAAGGAAGCTGCGTTAACCCCTTACAGTCTTACTTTTTCCCTTTTTGTGAAAGTGAAACGCTCCTGGATATGTTTTGATATCAGAAAAGGCTACGTGACAGACATCTGTGAGTGCAATAAGCTTTGGTGATCGCCATCCAAACAACAGCTCCTAAGGCATGCTTCCAGTCTCAGCAAATGTATTTTAGCGATCACCTGCCTACTTTTAAGTGCTGCTATTTTTACCTGCTTAACAACGGTCTACCATAGTAGTAATTGTTAGGTGGTTTTCAATTGAAAGCCGTTGTGTTTAAACAGTAGCTGAAGCATTGCGTTATCTTTGGACTTGTTCAAGTTAACGCCCAATCAGCTGCTGTCTTTTCTACGATGAAACTATGGAGTCAATTCTGTTGAACTATTTTTGGTCATATAAATGATCAATTCAACGACACACTTTTTGTTTCAGTCCGTGTTTGTTTACAGACAAACAAATGTCAAACACCTAATATACGCTTATTTGCCTGTCTAAAACGGCGATTCATTTTAAGAGCTTCTGCATTTAAGTATTAATGCATCGGGCATAGATACGGTGTAATGGTGTGTTAGTCCGCACTAGAGACAACACAAAACAATTGCCAAATTGTTGAAAGAGAAAGAATAATAAAACAGCGACTAGCCCCTAGGCTATGAGTGTGGAAAAGACACCAAAAATTGACACATACACTGAAGCAGTTTAGCGCTTACAAAAAACTGCGATTTTCAACATAGGGTTTTCATCAACAATAAGTCCCCTGCCATGTTATTCTGTATGATCAAGAGAAACAGAAAAGCAGCATGACTAAAAACTGGACGAAATGCAAAACTCCTAAATCTTGTAGGTGCCATCGTGACTTAAACTGGTTTGCCTGGCGCTACCCCGTAGTCTAAGTTTCACTCTTCAATCCTAGTATGCCGGTCCACACTCAATGTTTCCACCAGCTTTAGACTAAAAGCAACCATTTTCATGTTAGAGATTTGAGATGGCTGTGTTTAGAATAATTGTCTAAGAATGTGTAACCTAGTGTAGCAAGTCGAGACTGTTCTGGAACCCCTAATTCGAATATTTTATTGCTCAATTTTTATTCCTTTGAAGGTGGTGACAGTGAATGACCAAACGGGAACTCGGTATCGCGTTCTAGACGTGTTGGAGTTTGATTCAGACCGAAAATGCATGTCAGTTGTTGTGCAAGCTGCCCAAGGAGATCACGACGATTCTATTGCACTCGATACCAATCAAGGAGTCATAATTCTTTGCAAGGGTGCCGAGACTAGCATCCTCCCAAGGGTGAGCTTAGCCTAAATTTGGTGCATCTGCTCAACCACCCAAAATGGAGTAACGAATTACAAAGGGGAGCATAACTGTAGAAGCAACTCCTAATGCTGATTTTTCTCACCCTGAAACGATGAAAACTGAGCTTGCAAACACGATCACTTTTCAGGTTTGGTTAATTTATGAAGTTATGTGGGCCGATCAACAAGCCTGAATAAATAAATAGCGATCTTCCATAGTTGCCACGACTGTTCCGGTAGTTAGAAACGGCCGGTCTGTTCACTTTTAAACCACCTTTCCCTTTTTTACTTATTAAATACTATAAAGTATAGCCGTACACAAACAGTCACGATTTCCTTGTAAAATGCAAATTTATACGAATCCTACTGGTTTCTGCCCTTCCTTTATGTCTATCTATGATGGCATTAACGTCACGAACGTGAAAATAACTTCTACGAATAGCAGGCGCCGTGGTTACCTGTTAAGGTGTTAAGGCATTGATTTCGATCAAATTTCTGTCACTATCCCAGAATTATTAAGTCTACAGATTGCTTTGATTGACAACTCGTACCTAGAGTATTAGTAGTCAATCGAAGCCTGAGGGCAATTTCTATAATGTTCCAAGTTCCACTGATTGGTTTTGTTTTTGAACCAGTGGCAGGTGTTGGCATAGGCAGTCAGTAAGGACTTTACTTTGCGATATCAAAGAAAGTCACGAATTTCTGGTCTAAGTGCGTAACCGCCTTTCTAAAGCTGGGGCAAACGCAGAACCTCGTGCTTTTCCCATGTCATCTGAAAGCCGTGGGACATGTCAGAACAATCAGCTCATATATGCTGTGGGTGAACTTGATCCGACGGATTAAGAGCGATTGGCACAGATGGAAGCTGTCAATGGGTGCCTCAAAAGTTGGGATTTCAAGGTAAAATGGCACGCTAATGGGAGTTGTGTTAACAACGACGAAATCAAAGTTAGGCCGCAAAAACAGAGTCAACTGAATCCACTGGAACATTCAACCTCAAAACTCTTCTTCACTGTCTACGGATGACGCTAGAAAAAAGAACAATGTCAATTACACCTCACAATGGATACCGGCAACTTACTGATCGGCTGCTAAGCCATATGACTAATCACTTCAGTCCATAAGCAGACCTGCATTAGTAATTATTTTGGGCAAGTAAATGAGTCATAGAACTGATGTTTAAGTGGAGCTTGACCAAATTGTTAGGCCTTTTGTTTGCTCTGGCATACAGGCTTGATGGCTTGAGAGAAACAACGTTAGCTTTAATGATGGTCTCATATTTGTGTGGACCCCCTACGTGTTCTCTTTTCTCTAAGCTCCGTATTACTGGAGGTGAAAACAGAAGAATGTGAGTTGAATGGTGACAAAAGGTTACGGTTACGTTCTCAAATAAATTGGTGGCGTTGTCCGCATTTGATGTATCAACATTTATTTCTACATCCTCATAATCCAAGTCAAGATTTTTGGAAGCAAGATTGGTTATAATCTTTGAATGTTCAACATGAACATTTAGCTTAAGATAGAATTTCCCACGTACGTATGCGCGAAATTGGCTTTGCGTGTAGCACGAGGTTATTTGTCGCTTTCTTGAATTAGCGTGCTTATTGCAGACCGGACATGTGGAGGACATGCCACTGACGTCCACCAGGAGCGGGTCTTCCGCCGACCCGCTCACAGATGGCCTCTTCGGGAGTCTTGAAACTGCGCGGAAGTACGCCTTGACACAGGACTACGTGATGGAGCGGGTGACGGATTTCGCCTCGTCCGGCCTCCGCACCCTCGTGATGGGCGCTCGCTTCGTAACCGCCGCCCAGTGGCTCGAGCTCAAGGCCAACTTAGACGACGCCCGAGGGCGACTAGAGGGTCGGGAGGAGGCCCTTGCGGAGGCCTACCACGCCATCGAGAGCAGTCTCATGCTTGTGGGGTGCACTGGCATTGAAGACAAACTACAGGAGGGTGTTCCAGAGACACTTATTGCTCTCAGAGAGGCTGGTATCCAGGTGAATAACCCCTTAACCGCACTTGAATTCTTCTTCTATCGATTTCCATTGCGGTCGCAAGCCTAAAGCGTTCCATGATGCCTGCTAGGAAGACTGCGGTTATCACAGTCAACACAAAACACAACATAGTGTTTAATCTAAAAATACTTATCTGAGCTTATAATGATACCGTAATGCTTACCGTGCATTTGTCAACGCTGGTTCATTTATAATGTGGTGAAGATGGGAGGTCACTGGGTTAAAGCATGTCTGAAACGACAGTGTTTGATCCACACTTGGAACAGTCTGTGTGCCAATTTTTGTGGCAGTTTTAGCTATGTGAAAAGGTAGATATGAGTTGTCTTTAAACTAAACTTAATCTAGGCCCTAATTTCTTCTTTGGGTAAACACCATAAGCGGTCTTACACCTTCGGATTTTGTCTTAAAAATTTATTTTGACTACGAATGAGTGAGCTTGACATTAGGTTGTTGCACTTTATATGGAAATAGAACAAGTCATTCCCACAAATATGATGTCTGTTTTGTATTGTTACCCTGGATTAAATTTTAAAACCAAGTGTGTCGGCTTGCCTTCTTTAATCTTACCCACTTTGTAGGATGCGTGAATATCTCTCCTGCAGATGCTTATTATCCATCGCTCTGAAATCTCTCACACACACGAGGCCCTGCTTGTATGAATTACCGCTTACGTTTGGAACAACTTCCTGACAAAGCTCGCTCTCACCTGATTGAATGCAAACTTTCTTTATCACCTAGCTTATAATGCTTTTTGCGTTGATGGGGCGAACCACTGTAGAAAACCAATAATTAACTGCTATCACCAATTTGGCATTGTCCGTTGTAGGTTTGGGTGTTAACCGGTGACAAAGAGGAGACAGCAGTCAACATCAGCTTCTCAGCCGGTCACTTCGCTCCCGGTCTGCCGACAGTGCGAGTCACGCGACAGGGCAGTCTGCGGGAGTGCCTCAGCGCCATTGACGCCCAGCTCGAGCGGGTCACTGAGTCGAAAAACATTCAGCCCGACTACACCTTCGGCTTAGTCATCGATGGTCAGTCCCTCAACTTTGCCCTAAAGGTAAGTTAGTCTATAACGCCTACTCTTAGAAACGACATAGATAGCCAAGTCAAATAGTCTTGGATGGATACCAACATTCTGGCCACTTTCGGCGTATTTCGATTTATGATGATAGACTGGTTTTCAGTAACATGCACAAATTTCACAAAAGACCTTAGACATAAAAACATCAGGCATAGTGACCTTCTCAACGACCACATAAGCGACTAAGGAGTGCAACAAAACATTCTTTTTGCGCATAAATAAGTTAATTCAGCACCTTCAATTTGCTTTCAGGTGTTAGATATGACATGTTGATGGCTAAATCACAAACTAATTGTCCACCCGATTGACTAAACCCACCCCGTCGTTAATTCGTATGTGCCCTATGCGCTTTGAAAAAAACTAAACAAACCAAGAGCCTAGTGTGGAATCAGTCGTGTCCGCCCGTAGTCAAATTAGTGCATTCATCAGTTCCTGTTTATCGAAGTTGTGGAGCTATACCTGGAACTGGCACGCTCTTTTCTCAACTGTTATAACTCCACCTCTATTCCTATTTACTAGATGGGGAATACAACATAACCATGCGCTACTTGAGGTAAATCTTCCACTCCAATGACGAACGAGTGATTTAGCATGGTATTTATTTCTTTTGAAGTACTCCTGAAGAATACGAAGTCTTCTAAACAAAAGCAAGGGCGATAGTAGCCCGTTAAATGTCTAATCTGTTTCGTGCGGTGTACAATTAATTAGTTAAATTAACCTGTCACCATTAACATGTTTTATTTATCACTTGGCAACCCGCTCGAATCTGTCGCACGTAAAGGGTGACTAAGGTTTAGCAAGTACATTTCTCTGTACTAACACCGGTGTTTTATAGCTGCAAACACCAAATTTGTGTGTGCGAAATCAGACAAACGTGGGAAGCTTTTTCGGTTTCATCAGTGCGCTCCTCTTCGAAACCATTAGACCGGTGGATTAATAATTTTCATGTGTTTAAGGTGGGGCCCCCTCAAAGACTCTTCTTGGTGCAATGTGACACTTCTGATTCCATTAGTCAAATCAACCGCAATCTTCAAAGCTGTTAGTGCTAAATCTTATTAGGTAATAAAATGCTTTCCCAAAATGGAAATTTCTCACAAACCTCTTCCTAAATCCAGTTTACACGTGTACGGAAGTGTTTGGGTGACAATTTCTAATTATTGTCTTTGCACTCGCCTAGGTTCTTCTGAGAAAAAAGTTCTTGCTTCTCTGCCAAATGGCCAATTCTGTACTTTGCTGTCGTCTGACGCCAATTCAAAAAGCTGAAATCGTCAGAATGATGAAAGGTAGTCGAAAACCAAGCCCAGTTTGTTGTGCTATTGGTGATGGTGCGAATGACGTCTCAATGATTCTCGAGGCGCACGTCGGGATTGGTCTTTTTGGCAAGGAGGGTCGGCAAGCTGTTCGCGCCTCTGATTACGCCCTAGGAAAGTTCCGATTCCTTAAACGTGCTCTACTTTTCCACGGCTTTCACTACTACGTGCGGACAGCAAATCTCGTGCAGTACTTCTTCTACAAGAATCTCGTTTTCACTTTGACACAAGTGCTTTTTGGTATCTTTTCTATCTTCTCTTCTCAAAGCATCTACTCCAATCTCTACCTCCTAATCTACAACATTACTATGACATCAATTCCAATAATCTTCTATGGCATTTTCGAACAGCGGCTGTCAGAAAACGCACTGATGAATGTTTCGGATATTTACAAGACAATCGCCATGAATAAACTACTTTCCTGGAAGAACTTCTTCACATGGCTAGGCTTTTCCTTCTGGCACGGTTTAGTCATCTTCTTTGGAACTTACTTCCTTGCCATGGAGGGCGTCTCCAATGGTGGGAATGGAGGAAACGCAATCGGAGTATTGGAGGGCTTCGGGTCGTTCATGATCAACTGTGTCTTTATTGGTGTCACGATCAAACTCATGCTCGCCAGTTACCATTTCAACGTGTTCCTCATAGTCTCTGTTGTCGGAACTGTGGTGGTCAACTTCCTAATATTTATATTGGCCAATTACGTGAAATTACCAATCAGTGGAGGAGACGAATTGATTGGGGTCTGGTCGCGACTGGGATCAGGATTTGGAGCGTGGGTCTCCTACTTGGCCCTTTTTGTGATACTTGCAACATGTTTTGTCCCTGATATCTTGTACCGACTCTACGCGGACAATAAGATGACTGCTTACCTTGAGAGCGTCTCCACCGATCGGAAATTTAACGAATCTGAAGAAGTAGGCGGTAGATCCGATGGTACTGTCAATGCCGCTTACTATGGAAGTTTAGTAAGTGTTGTAGAATTTCATTTACAAAGTATTATCTTAAGTTGAAAAATAAATGCTTGCAGTTTGTGGTTGCAGACTGTTAATTCTTCTCAGCTTACCCAAGCTGTGATTAGGGTCCGTGATACGTGACGAAAGGACAGATCCACCACAAAATTGGTGTCAAACTTATTACGATTGTTAAGTATTAAAACATCGGCCAAATAATTTCGTTATGTTAGAGTTTACTAATGTTGAATTTAAAATAATCTTAATCACTATCAAAAATATCCTAACCATAATCTGATTAAAGTCAACTTGTTCCTAATCGATACAGGAAAATTTTGTGGCCATTGTCACTTAAATAGTATTAGAAATAAAATCTGGTAAATAATTAAATTACTTAAATTAATGAGGACGATACTCGTGGCGCAGTGGGTTATCCAGAGCAATTCACTCCTCTTCAGATCTGTGCAACATTTTATAATGTATTTTGCCTCAACGGTATATGCGAAAGCCTTCGAGTTGTGACTAAGGAGAGTCAACTGGTGTTCGTTTAAGTGACGCGTCCGTATGCAGCACCCTCAAAATGGGGCATCGGATGGTTTATAGCTCCACATTTCAAGGAAAGCAAACAGTATGCAAGACAGTGGATAAGACGAGTGGTGTTCGGGTTTGATTCCTTAAACAGCCTTAAATTCCATTCCTTAAAGGTCGCATGGTGCCTGTTTTTGTAAAATTCACATATTTGCACAAGACGAGGTTGGCTAGTTGAAATACTGCGCAGTAAATTTCAAATTTCAGTCGTCGTTGTAAATGACATTCTGTGGCAATATGGTACAGTGTTAGGAGGGAGTAAGAATAAAGTTGCAATGAAATCAGGTGCTATGTTGACCGCATTTTTTGACCAATCGAGTCTGGTACATCGTCAGACCCCTATTCCTTGTGCCAATTTGCAGAATGAAACTTCCGACGAGATTAGACAGTGCCTTATTCCGAAGCACCTACCAGTTCTTCAAGAAGGGAGCTCCAGCTCTTCTAAAAACTCAATTTCCCCTACCACCTCCAATGCGTACTAGGACATACAGTAGCCCTCTAAATTTTATCTAATATAAGTGAGTGTGAAAGCTTAAGTCATAACCTATCCATACTCTAACTCCAAAGGAATGACATTAGGCCTAACTTCTCGCCTAACACACAAGCTAATTGGATTTCACTAGCTTGAGCATTTTTTTAATGTCACCCATTATTTTTTAACTCTCGTTTTGCAAATGTTCACCTAATTAAAGCAAGTTTGAATATTTCTCAGACTGGCAAAATGGGGGCTGCATTTCTTGAGTGTTTCCGCGCTACTTCTATCTTTTTAAGAGGCCGTCAAATCATTCACTGGGCAAGTCTCGAAGGCTTCGACGTGGGGTCGAGCTTATCCGTAATTCCTAACCCCAACCGACATGTTGTTAACTCGAAACTTCTTCAATTCAGTTCTCATTTTAGTGACTGCGATCATGCCACTGGGCAAAGCCAAGCAAGCTACCCTCCTACAGCTGGCCCGCGATGCATTAAGCACGCACTTGTCGACACCAATGCTCATTCTGGCTCCAGAATCCCCTTCGAACGAACACACACTAAAACCGATGCCCAGACTGAATCTCTCAAGTGCCGATTTGAAACCCTTCTCATCAGCAATTTTTACTAAAGATTCCTCCAACGACTGGAAGATCAGTTCTCAGGCCTCCTGGAAGGGCACTTCGGTACTATGAACAAATGCAATTCATGCAGTCCATCCCACTCTACTTTCTTATCTCATATTCTTATACCTTTACTCTCCTTATCGAATTACCTGATACATTTTCTCAAGCCAGCGTATTTTTAAAATATTATTTTTAATAAAAGAAACTATTTGATAAAACAATTGCTTAATGGCAGATGGTTGGGCTTGGGCGGTTTGTATCTGCGATTAATTTCGAGGACCTTATATGCGCCTGCACGTGACGAAAGCTTCGGCCAAACGGTTGGATCAGAACATGTAGGCTAGCTATCTACATGAAAAACGGGTTATCGGTGTGGTGCACAGGCAAACCTTTGGCCCACAAGTTCAAACTTCAACCTCCTAATATAGGGTAACAATATTGTGTGCACTTTTTGATTAGTTCATCATGGGTAAATGAGTTTCCGACTGGAGCTGAGTCGAAGGCTAACAGGAACTCCAAACCTGTGCATACAGGTAGAACTTATCATAAAAGCAGTTTTCATGAACGCATTGAGAGAATATAAGGCTACGAATAATGAGTGGTCAAGGCGCATGTACCGTATTCAATAAATTTGCATGCGGTCACCGGAAGTTATGTAAGACAGGACGAGGTAGACATACGAAAGCACAACTAAACAATCATTTCGACGCGAAGGGTGTTGTCACAGGAAAGGAAAAGAAATTAAAGTCATTTAGAGAGAGTCGAGTTTTTCTGTGGGAGAAATTTTTCAAGACTACGCTCGGTCATCTCAACGAGGCGCTGGGCAGCGCCAGCATTGAAAGACTCAGGATGGGGAAACGAAGCCACGCAGTCTTCGAAGTAAACGCCAGTTTCTCCAGGATGCATCAGGGTCGCAGCCAAGGCGGGCTGAGCAGCCTGCCATGCGGTCTTGCCAAACCAGGTCATCAAGTATGCAAAGGGCTACCAAACAAAGGAATAATCTTGCAAGTTTCCGTTCCATTGTCATTATTGCGTCGTCACTTACAAGAAACGTAGATGGACACATGACCAGTTCTTTCATCATGGGAGATTAAAGTCATGGAGGCATGGATTGACGCATGTTTACGTTCCATACTCTAGACTCCACAGCTTTGCTTCTTGACCATCAAGCAAACTGTCTATTTTGTTGCATTTTTAATAACTTGAGCATCAATGCCGGAAAATATAAAAGTCGGCACTTGACAATCTTTCTGCGCAGAAGCCCCAGAACTGTTAGTGAGTTGGTTTTCAGGTTGCGGAACCAAGTCGCTGGCGCCGCACACCTACAGCCACTCCTAAGATCGGCGGAAGTTCGATGACATATTTACTCACCACACTTAAATTTCAAGCACTGACTAATTTAGAAAAGTCTGCCGTGTCTGCTTGCACAAACTCATACACAAAACAAGGCAAAAATGCCAAAACCTGAATTTACAACCTCTGCTTACCTCATACAGGATTTCTCCAAAGTGCCGATTCTCGAAACCCGGATGGACGCTGACGATGCGGATTTTGGCCGGATTCACTTGTGTGTTGAGGTAGTTGGCATAAGTGATGAGAGCCAGCTGACTGGAAGCAAAAGACTTCCACCATGAGTACTTTGTGGGATCTACTCGCTTTTTGCTTATGGCATTCGGCAACTCCCCAAATTTGTGCAGACGAGAGGAAACGAAAATAACACGTGACAGAAAGTCGGGACTGGCCGAACGGTCCAAGAGGGGTATGAGATATTGGGTAACGAGAAAACTGGACAGGTAGTTCATTCCCAAGTTCCTCTCAAATCCATCTACAGTCCGATCGGATTTCACCGAAAGGTAGACTGCGTTCACAACGAGGACATTGAGCTGTTTGAACTCGCTAGCAAAATTCTCACAAAATTTCTTTATCGAAGCAGCTGATGCGAGATGCACTCCTCGAACAAAAATCTACAACGGCCATAAAGTTAATTTAAATTGTTACTGTTGTACACGTTATTACTATTTCCGAAGTTTGAGGCGTATGAACCGTTATTTTATATAAAATAAACTGCCTCGCAATGTGGAAAGGGCATTGGATCTTATACCATCTTTTAATAATTTTCCATTTGTTCTTTCTGACATCCACAAAGAAACAGTAGAATTTCACGTCTTGAAATTAAAAACGATATTTTTCACATAAAAATCAAAAGATTCAGAATAGTGGCACTTCTAGACTAGTTTTCACTTTAACAGCTTTGCGCAGATTTTCAAGTAGACCTCTTAATCGTTATGCCACAACTCAAATCTGGTCTTATAGAAGGCCCAGGTGTGCGGTCTTGAACCACACCAAGGCTGCCACGTTGTATTTGCCTGATTAGGCTACAGCGATATTCGGGAAGATCAAGAAGATCGGAGATGGTGAAGACAACCGTCGATTTGATTCCTTAACCTACCTGTGAATCGCCTCCAGTGTTGAAATGATCGTGTTGGACAAGTGGAAGTTATCAACCAATACAGGCCCGGTGACCTTGTACGAGTATAAATGGCTGAATGGTTAGATGGGTGGAATGAGTAGCGTGGTGGGGAGGCACGTGCACAGAGTTGCGTGAACAGACAGCTCCGCATGATCGGTAGGGGTGCCGTGAAAAGGGAAGGGTGGTGAGTCTGAATATGCGACTAACGGGTTAATGGACAGGAATCAAAATGAAGCATTGCATTCTAAAATAGCTAGTATCAATAAATTTGCTTTAGATGCCACGACCGAAAATTTCCCTTTTTCAGATGCCTAGTGACTTATTGAGAAGTGGGATTCCTGCGACCCTTAGCCTATCGTACCTAAGTCCATGAATTTGCTGTCAGTCCTAAAAACACAACAAACATGAATTCCTTGATGTGTCGCTACTACAACCTAACTGTCAAAAAAAGCTTATTAAGTGAACAAACTAAAGCCTTTTTCTCTAATATTTAGTTTAAACGGGTTTGGGATGCTTCAAATGAGGTGGATCACGCTTTTAAACTATACAAGCTGGAGATGCATAGACTTTAACCTATGGTCAACTTTAGTAATGACGTGTGGCAACTACCAAGAGCACAACAGTGGTGTGTCGCAATCCAATAAAGTGGAAAGTACAAAGTACAAAGTGATTATCGTTTGCATAAAGACAAAGATGAGTTTTATTGGCATTCGGGGTTGGATTTTTAGCTAAACAAACAACCACTTACATTTATTAGATTGAAAACACAAGTTTCGCATTTGGTAGTAGAAGATAAACGGAAATCGTCAAAAGTCAATGATTCGGTTTAAATATCCCTACGCCCTGACTCCTGGAAAAGAGCAGAACCAGCCACCGAAAACTGCTCCACTAACAGCAAATCCCTCTTGAGAGGCCAGAATCGTACCACCAACACACTTTCACAACACACTCATTCGTTTCATTAAACTCATACAAAACCTGACTTTATATGCGCTGAAAAACTTGGCGATAATTTTGAAAGAATTTCACATTTCTGATAATGTTATAGGTTTAAATAATCAACGATCCGTTATATTAAAGAACTAAATTAAGCTTTAGATTTTTTTGTTTTTTAAGGCATTACTAATTCACAATCACTGTGACGTTCTGACTTCAGGTGGAGACGGTGGGTCACACCTATTCAGACGTGTCTGATTAGGTGATTGGTGACCATAGTTGCTGTGATGTGGGAGAAGTTTGCAAAAGCATGCACTGTAGGAAGGTAACAGTCCGAAATAGGATGTCTGGTTAGTAAATGGACCGCATTGTAGGCCTCTGTTAGAACCTACTGTCGCTCGACAGGTTAGCAAATGTTAAAGAGCGATGAGAGCGATGGGGTAGGCTGCCTCATGTCGATCTGAAGATGACATAATGGCCATTGTTTAACTGGCTGGACATTACTAAATAACATTTGTGCATTTTTATTAAGGTAATGGCAGTTTTCGACTGCATTACTGAGTTCAACGAATGGAATAGACCAGTATTTCCATTCACATCACGGTAAAAGCAACAGGTTTACTTTAAATGATTAACTGCCAGAATAACTTTGGTATCGCATGCAAAAAAAGGTTACTCTGTACTTCCGTCTTCTGACATCAAAAGCGTCATTTACACAATTCTTAACTGGTCAAAGGTGAGTAGTATCGAAGGCAAACCTATGAACACGTAATGAAGTTACCAGGGCATGTGAAGCTATCATCTCTAGACAAGAGAGAACGCACAAGAATTGATATTTATAATTCGAAGAAAATATAATTCTTAATCATCGGATGCTTATCACCCTTAAAATTAAATATTGCATTCCGCCACAGTAAACGGCCTCAGCAATGAGGGCACTACGGGAACAGACAGGTTGGGGCAGGCTAAATAGGCAACGGGGATTCTGGTAGAGCAGGACAATTTTCTTTAAAAAAGTTTTTTTTTTCAGACAAGACTCGTGATACACTATGTGTGCAATCTTTGTCATATTATTGCCCATAAGTCTTTGTTCTACTATGTCGGCTTCCTTTAGAACACTGTTCAGTTCGGCCCTTAGCAGTAAGCATCTAGATTATTGTGTACATTTATTACTTACGCTGTTTACTATCGCAATATTTCTTGTTTAGGATAACGCATGAACTTCTGTGCGTTCTGGACCTTCTTTGATGTTCTTTCTTTCCGGCGTGCATGTCTGCTAGGGTCTAAGATGCTACTGTTATTTACAATGGGAATGGCAGTTGCTAATTGATCATGTCTCTTCCAACACACGAACGAATTACGTTCTCGGGGTCCTACAGCAGTAATTCATTTTCTCTATTTGGGAAAAAAATTTTCAGGAGACACCAGAACAAATTGACTATATTGTCATATAAGCCTGTAAGTGGTTAATTGTGCCATCAAAAGTTGAAATCGCCCAATCTCATTACAGTTTATGTAAATACAATCTGAAAAGTACCATTGTAATTTGCGATGACGCACACATTAAACTCGCCTGGTCAGTTTTAATAGATGAGACACTCTTCAGGGTGTCCTCTCTCGCCTTCGACTCAGCAATTTTGGAGGTGGAGGTGCTGCCAGGCTTGTGTTGCGAGAATTCGTTAATTAACTGTAGCCGGGCTGTGTTGCAGCGTTCCACGACCTGGCACGCCATGACAACGCGAGCGCCCCTGCGGGCGAGACCGCGAACCGTCGCGACGCCGATGTCGGTGTCTGCGGCGAGCACGAGGGCCACGCGACCGTCCAGACGGCCCTCCTGGGTGCACACGCAACCCGACAGGTACTGTCGACTTGAGCGATACGCAATCGCAAACAGGGCGATTAGCACAACCGTTTTCAGGGGTGACATTTGGACTAAATAACAAATGAGTATAACAACTAGAAATAACACGGCAGTGTCAGTAGATATAAAACTATAGATTTAGTGGAACTACAATTAATCTCAGGAAACAATGAACGGCGGGTTTAACAAAATATCCGGGACGATATCATATTCCTCTCAATTATGGGTTATGTCGCACACCTCTAAATGGGACCAAAATCCATCGAATTTCGTGCATACTATGGATATTTCTAACTCTGTTACCGCTTTTTGGGCAATACAAGAGTGAAACTCAAATGTAGGCAACCAATTTTACTCAACCTGAACGAATTCTCTGTCAAAAATTACAAAACAGAATAGTTACTTGCCACTCGTTTCGCTTTTCTTCCACTGGTTATTGAAACACCACATATTTATTCATTTTTCTAGCTAAGGAGGCAAGGAGAGGAAGACTTTCCCGAAAAAAATGGTCATAAATCTGTGGATGGTCCTATTTTTGTCAAAACATTACTCTACCCTCTAATTTAAAGCATAAATCACCGTTAGGGAACTATCAAAGCATTTTTATTAATTACAACCAATCAACAATAACGGAGGCGACGTTTAATTGGAGCCGAAAAAGCATGCATAGCATTAACTTTTTACAACTTACATTAAGTCTTAAAGCCATCAGGAAATCAAGTGAAGACACACAACGAGTGAATGTCGGCTGCTGTGGCGAACAAACCCACTCTTTTTTGCAGAACTCAAAGGGAGCTAGCTTGATCAGGCTTGGTATCACAGTTAACAATATTACCTGGTTTTATCATACGGCATATGCCTTTAACTCAAATCGCCTAATGTTTTGTAACTGGATTGCACAAGGATTGTGATGGAATTTTACCTATCAAAGCTGTCTCGCAACAAATTAAACTTCAGAAATAAAGTTATGAAATGAAGCAGATGAAAGGTTCGTACTTCGACATGTAGGGGTGAAATAGCCACAATCGCGTTGGACGGTTCTCTGTTCCTGTCAAATAAAGGTACTAATCTACTCGTCTCGGAGATTCCTAAATCTAACCTTAGAGGATGATTACATTCATCCAGAAAGTGAAATAGACGCTAATTAAGTTGGTTAATATTGCATTCGCCTCTAAACCAAATTATCAGCCGTTAGGTTACGTTACCTAAAACCATTGAAGTGAGTTTGATTGTGACTGGAACAAATCCAGGTCAAAAGAAGGCCTATCTCAAATTTTAGTCATAAATCTAGTCGTAAAACGATTTCCCATTCCAGAAACGCAAACACTTTTTCCGCTATACCTTTTGATAGTTAAGCGGGATACACGTAGATTCATTTAGGAAAAGCATTTAAGGGTCAGGAGAAAGCACTACACAGAGCTCAAACAACTCTATCTGTAATCGTGGACTACCTACCAGAAGGTGATAATTTTGACTTCTCAAGTAAAGATTGATTTCAAAATGCCCAATTGGTCAAATGAGATTTGACAAGAGTGACTTTCAACTCAACAGCTTACACGTTTAAAGACGCTTACTCCGTAAGGCAAATGCTAGTCGATGCCCACGAGGAATTTCTTTACGTAAGTGGCACTTTAAACTAATGCAATTTAAACGCATACCTCCGCGGAGTGGTTATATTCCAGTAGACGCAAACTGGATTAACTTCATTAAGGCACGGTGACGGCACCAACAAAGACGACTAGGCACGCAATGTTGAGGTTTGAAATAAAACGACAGCGGGAATCAGCCCGGCACTGTGTGCGCGCCATCCAGTGCGGGGGCCAAATAGGCTCTCAAAGCAGGAAAACCCGTCACTAGCCTTCTGGCAGAATAACTTCAGAGGCACACCACACTGTCGGAAAGAGTGACTAAGTTCTGGAGTTGATATTTATGCTATTTTGCTTGTATTCACACCAATGTGTGCTACGTTGGGAAAGTAACGCGTTTTTTTATTTACATTTGGCCGTCTGAAAATATGAGGGCGGGAACGGTGAAGGCTGGGAATACCGACCACAGTTTTTCAAGCGCTTATTAAACAGGCCGAAGTCCAGGCCGTGCTGCCTGTCGGAATGTAGTTAGTAACGATTGCCTCGGTGCAAAACCCATGCGTCGAATCCATTTACCGGTTAACACCTTAGCATCAATTTCATGTTCATGTGCGTCCACGAATTCTAACGGTACCTTATGGAAATTAGCAACTCTATTTAGAAAAATGAACGAAAAGGCAGTTACAGGCCTTTTAAGGTAAAAGAGAAAATTCTGAGGGGCTTAAAATCCACAAGAACGATGCTGAGACCAACGTACTCCTCCGATAGTTTGCTTATTGCACCAAAATGACAAATGCAATAAAAACCACAGAAGCCCAACAGGGAACTAGGCTGAATCGGAGGGCAAACACCTTCAAGCCCACTGATGGGGGCTTTAGTGTAAAAATGGTTGTTTTTGTGGAGAAGGCATGCGCGCAAGTTGTAACTGGCACAATGTGCATGTGGTTCGCATTAGTGCAGACGTGGCGAGATCGCCGCAGGGTGACCGACGCACAGAGGTGCGACAGAGCCACATGACCCCTCGTCTCCCAGTCACAACGCCATGCCGGCACATTCAGCGATGCCCGTGCAAACGCAGGCCACACAACCGTGCTGCTGAGAAAGGTTAGGTAGGCGCAAGGGGTTAATGCGAAGGGGCCTGAATTGTACATGTCTCAAGTAAATGAAGAAAAAAGAACGACCACTTGCAGTAATTTTTTTACTTGCAGTAATACAAGCTAGAAGAGACACGATACAAAAGGCGAGAAATACAACAGCACTCCACTTTGTTAAGAGAACAAAAAGTTCCCGTACTGTAACAAACAGGGGGTCCAAATCGATCGTGTTTGGGATAAGCATTAGATTCAATTAGTGGCGAACAAACTATTTTGATCGAACCGGCAACTTTCTAATTCGATTGACAAGACGACTGTGGGTAGGACATACGGATTCCAAAAAATTGAGTTTTATTTTGCTTACGCTGCCACTGGAAGTGGTTCCCAATTGTGTTCCTGTCAGTGTTACGCAAGTGACAAGTTGAATGCTTCATCATTTGTAGTTTAACCCGATCGGGAAAAGGAATTCGTGGGACCCAGATGCATTTAGAGTGAACGTAAAAAGTTAAAGTAATTTTTATGGATGCCTTCACACACTCATGTGCAGACTCCTGATTTTATGCGAACATTATGATGCTGGAGAATGGAAGGAAGCAGAGCAAACAGACTGCTTCCTTTAAGTTCTGGTAGACAGGCAAAAAAGCAAACATTCCGCGTTTCATATTTCGCAAGTTCCTTGCAGTGTCATTCGACAACATCTCCAAGAACGGTTCCGTCGTTGTCTGCCTCAGTTTCCATTGGAACGTCTCCAGATGAACCGATCGACTGCGGATGCCTTGGGATGAGGGATGCAAAAGTCAGGTACCCTGTGTGGCCGGTATCCTTCGGCTAAAAAGGCGAGGCACTACTGATGGCACAAATACGGCGAAAAATCTTGCCACAAATTGTAATGTGGGAGGGGGAACTACGTCAAGTGGGAAAAACCCTTCCACTTCCGGACTGAAATTTATAGTACGCGGCAGCCAAATTTGCTGTCCAATTTTAAATACAGCCAGGTTTACAGCTAAGTATTCGGTCTTGAGGTCTTTTTATTTAACCAGACGAATACAATTCCACCCGTCTAGGTAATTAAAGACGTGTGAACGCTTTGTAAGCGTCGTGTGACCAGATGGATTCTCACGGGGGCGATCCACTGCCATGATGGAAACTACCGCGACTGCACTAATATAAACCAGTAGACGTCGCGTTCCGTTTTCACCTTTGAAGGGTATCAGCTAACCACGTACGGAGCATCTCATCGCTCCGATTTACGAGCAGAGCACAGGACCACCTTGGAGGCAGATATTTGCGTTCTCACGGGAATCGCTAGCTGTGTAGAGAAACACGACCGCACGGCACCCACACGGGGTGAGCAAGCTACGGATCTCGTGAGGACTGCACGATAAACGTGTAAAAAATCAAACATATAAAACTGAGTACACTAAGGGCTACGCATTCCTTCCCAAAGTGTTAACGAAGGTGTGTGCAATATTTACATATTAGTCTTGATTTATCCGCGATTTTAAGTGATGCTTACTTATCGCCGCTTACAACTTGCCCACTGAACAAGCGGTGACCATATTGAACACTTTTTAAAGTGTACAAAGGGGAAAAACACAGACGCAATCGAAGGTACCGATTCGTCTTACCTTCTTCATGGGTTCGGCGTGTCTATCCGCTTTCATAATGAAGTTGTCGTGAGCCTTAATTTTTTTACGGCCTTTGTCAAAGATTAAGAATGTCAGGCGTCCTATGAAGTCGATTTCCGTGTTAATTAAGCGAAAAAATATAATTCACGTAGCATGCGGCAAAACCACCACAATTCACTAGACACGGATTTACCGTCATCAGTCCATCGTTTGCGAATTAGGAATGTGAGGTTAAAGTATTTCATTTATTGTTAGTCGAGCATTCACGTACTATTAACGTGTTCGAGAAGTCCCACGTGGGCAGAAAGTACACTTAAGACACTGAGAAGTGAAGACAACGTTCTATGCGAGAAAGACCGGATTCAGCACAACGTTGTGAGTGTGAAAGTGTTTGCTACTGAGAAAGAAATGACCTGTATCAGCTAGGCTTGCATTTGTGCGGACTTGGGGAAAACACAACTCATTGACGACTATCGTTTCCGATTCAAACAAGAGGAGCATTGCGTACTCTAGGAAAAGCCTCCCAAGATCCATCTTGGTGGCGTCCAGGAGCGTGTCCTTTGCTCATCTCGCAGGGCTGTGTTGTCGAAGTCACGTACTTGGTGGGTGGAGGAAAGAGATGTCGGTCGCATCCGGCACCCTTCGTACCCTCATTGCCGTCGTTTGCCGTCCGAGACTTTTTGTGGACATAAGTGCCATTAAACAACTCGGTTGCATCTTTTTGACCTGGATATAAAAAGTATTACGGGCTAAAGCAATAAACTTCACTTTATCAAACGAAAGGTCTGCAAAGGAAGTACAGAAGTGGTATTTACGTGTAATTAACGACAGAAACGCAACTGGAGGGATTCCTATTCACACCAACTCGACCACGAATCGAAAATGAACAAATGAAACCGACACACCAACGCCAAACCAAGTTTTTTCAGCATTTACACCTAGCACTATATACTGAGACTCCGTAACAGTTTGGACTTCACTGGAATGCATTTGTTCGGTCCGATTGGGTGACAACTCACATTGGTCACGCCTTACAGATACACTGGTAACTAAACCGATTGGACGGTGTCGCCTTTCCGAGACAGTACGTGAATTGCTGACAGGTGAGTTTCTAACTTGAGGATGGCTTTCGCGAAAACGTCAGCCTCAACAGTGGTGGACTATTGTAGAAGTAGCATCGAGGCTGACCATTTGTGACTTCTATTCGTTTAGACATTCCTCTAAGAATCAACCAATTACCTTACCGAGGTTCGGAACATGAAGGACAGTGTGAACAACGTCATAGCTTCTCGAGACGCATTCGACCACTTCGATGTCCGTGAAGCCGGCCGTTCGCAGGTTCTCGCAGCTCCGTTGGACCTGTTCTATGCACGGAGAGAAAATGCACACTCGTCCGCCTAAAAGATAAAATAACGCCTACTGAAAAATTTACTAGTCGGGAGTGGCGAGAAGACAAACAGAGACGAGATTTTGTAGGAGTCCAGAAGGCAGTTTGAGTAAACCGGTTCATACACACTACGAAATGACGCAAAATACTGCAAAAATTAACAATAAACGTGGACTATTAACCTGTATGTGTCACGAACCACCGAGTAAATTTAACCCTACCTTAGAAGAAAGGTTACAGCTTATAAGACGATAACGAAATATTAAAAAGCTTGTGAAATCCAAGGGGGATGAAGTGTGATTCCGTTTCGGCCTTTTTTTGAATTTTTTAATAACTTAAGTGTCAATTTTAAAATATAATAAATTTTCAGGCACACACTGGACATCGCATTGCAAAGGGGCGCAGTGACTCGCACGCGCTCGGGCCAAGAGTAAAAAAATTCATGAGGCAAGATCACTAACCAGTATTTTATAAGCACAAGTCGCACGAGAATGATTACACACACACATAGACTAAGTCCTACGGGAGGTGAATTACAAAACAACAAGACATGTTATTAGAAAACACAGAGAGAGAGAGCAGCATACCTAAGGATTGGAAGCAATTGACAATACCGGGAAGAACACCCCAGGGTTCAGGGAGGTCAATCATGATGGCATGGCAGCCATCGGGATTGTGCTCCAAGCCAATGGCCGGGAAGCCGTCGGTGAGGACATCGCGGTACTTGACAGTGACCACCTCCTCCAGGCCGTGCTGCTGCATTCCGAAAACGGCACAAATTGTACACAACAAGTTTAAACGAAAGCCATGAAGGGAATTCGACCTAAGGGCCTAATCACATGTCATTACACCGACTAAACGTGTTTTAACAAGACACGTTGGCAAAACGTTGACGCGACCTTCGCTACAGCTTTGAACCACGTAGATGAGTTGGAGATGCCACACTTGGCGTGTGATTCATGTGCAACGTTTAGTGAAAGACCAACAGAACAAGCTATTCTCTGACTTATAATGTCACCACGGCCAACAAAGTGCAGCGTTATATTTGTGATTATTCGCCAGTGCACACGATTCGAACAGCCACGATTTTGAAACAATGTCAAAATATCGGTTGGTGCGTCATCATTGTCGGACCCTACCGACATAAGCAGGCAGTGTAAGATTTGTGACACTACCTCACAGAACCGGCCAAACCCACAGTTTACTTCCACAAAACAAACGCTTTCTTGGAAGAATACAAACGTTCATAGCAATTACCGCTCCACCGACTCTCTACTTTGCAGATCCTTTTTAAATATCGATTCTAAACAGCATGACTAATTGGGCAGTCTTGTGTGGGAAGCTGCTTATAAGAACCGCCAACTGCCTAATGAGGCCTAATGACGCACGGAAATTGCGGAAGCGATCATCATTAGCGTTACTCCCTACAGCCAGAGGTCGGCTACAAATGCATGTGAATGGGGACACAAAAAAGCCAGCACTTATTTCAACCTCTAGAGTTGCGTAAACAAGAAATCCGAAGGAGTTACAATTAGCGTAGGAACACAAAGTTACACGCCAAAGCAGAAGATGAATTAGTAAGCTGGGCAGTTCACTGTGCTCAGTCAATACATTTTAGCGTGTAATAGGAAAAAGAACGTGTTGGTAGTTAAACGTCGAGGCAGCTTCGTACATCATTCGATGAGCCCAAGGTCTGGTGAAGGACGCTCTCACACCGATGGATGGGCTCACCCGATCCAACAGCAAAGCTACGCCAGTAAAACTGCCAACCGAACTTGGGCTAATAGTCACCGGATTTCAGGTACATCAAGTTACAGGAATTTTGTGAAAAGTGCCGTCGAAAGACGAAATAACCAACTCGACGACGAAGGCATCGAAAGATATTGCCGATTGGTGCCGATCTAGAGACACCAAATCTTACCTAGTCGATGCTGCCGGATTTTATTTTCGCCAAAGGTTGCATTTATAAAAAAGCAGAAACTAGTAAGGAATAAATACGGACCGAGAGACGAAGAGGATGGGTTACAACCCAAATGCGAAAAGGAGTGTGACCACGTATTTTAATGGTGGAAGTTTCGCGAATTACTCCAAAATATGGATAACACAGTCACCAATAAATGTCACTCAAGCATGATGCAGCATTAGCACGATTTCAGTACCCTTAAGTAAAACCGCCCCATTCCATTCTAGCACCTTTTCCCCGTGCAAGTCAAGTTCAAAAACCAGCTTCAGCTGAACGGATTCATTCAACCACTGGCTTTTGCCACAGGTGCTATCAAATCTACACATTGATTCACATCTGATGTTCCGGTGGCCTTGAAACCTACAAATTGAGGAAGTAAGAAAGAAATGTTTTGGGGTTTTGCGCCATGCTATCAGCAGCCACTAATTTCCTTGTTGATGGGTTGTGTCGACTGTTGGTGCAAACATATGCCTTCCGAGTGGTTTGAAAAAGAACATTGACATTGGGTGAAAACCAGGAATTTCGGGATGCTTACGCCAAGTGTACGTTACTCAACGAAACCACTTGAACCCCGACTTAAACACCCACATGGTTTACAGGATCACTTTCGATCATGGGTCTTTTGCCTGGGGGAGCCACATACAAACGAGTAAATTTACCAGCCGCGGAGGTGGGGATTGATTTGAATAAAACTGAAAGCACGCGTGAAGGTTCCCATTCAGACAATGGCTGCAAAAGCTCTTACGTAAGTACAGTGCGACATTTTATAAAGGCCTGCTTTCAGGACATTGGTGATAAGTCGCAGGTCAAATGGTTTCCCTCATTGCTCGTTTTACAAAAACCTCCGCATATTGTAAAGCCTTATTGGGGTCAGTAGTAGCAACCTGAAACGGCAGCTTAAATTAGCGCTAAACAGACACAGACTTAATGTATGTTTAGTGTCGTCGCTTGGCTTAAGCAGCGACCAGGAAAAAACCTAGGGCGATGAGGAGGAGGTCAGGCACAAGGGGAGCGCACCTCTCCAAGAGAGACGGCCGGGATCATTTTGTCATCCGCATTACGGCGCTGACACATTCACTCAATTCCCCCATTGACGATTACCTGCAACAAGACGCAAAACGTGACTTTTGGGAAAGTAAACTTTTAAATACTTCGGGCGAGTGGTAACAAGTGACAAATCGTCCACATCAGTTGTTCCGTGTATTTAGCTATTAAACTGGTGTGTGTTTTTAGTATGAATGGAATCCGGGACACGCAACCCGGAGTGTGATCTGTGCACACGACTATTGATGTGGTGGTCGGCAATTCAGAAATAAAGGCAAGCGAGGCTCTGTGGCTATTAAATTTGTATGACTTTAATTCACTACGAATAGCAATTTTGAACAGCCGCGGTTTGTTTTTCATGAAGGAAGTAGAATAAAACCGTGGATACAGCCTTGGGCTAGTGAGGTCCACGGACAGCTTTGGCGGGTCTTAAGACATTGCGAGGGTAGTCTAATGCACCACAACCACAATGCCGCTACAATTGACTTGGAACCACCGGCTGAATCTGAGCTTAGATCATGCAGAGCAGACCGAAAAACGGCCATTTGATGCGTGTTACACGGTGAGAAAAGTCTAAGGCTAAATTACCACAGTGTTTGTCAAAACAGTAGCCAATATGTAGCTTCTTCTTAGCACTACTCAATAACTTGTTTCTATCGAAACTCAAGCATTGTTCGCTTCTAGTGTTTAAGAGAGAAGTCTAAGGAGCATCGGAACATCACGTTTGGTTATGTAAAGTGTAATTCTGATACGAAAAACCCAAATCGAGATAATTCACTTGGAGAAGACGATCAAGGTAACAAAACACTTCGAACGACTGTGGAGAGAAGGAAGGGGATTTGCGACCAGAACCCGCACCCATTATAACGTGTTTTGTGGATCAACAACATCCGTTGACACTCACGATTTAGGTTTAAGCGAGTTATTTTCAAATCGTCGCAAGTCAAGTCCGGTAATGCTAATTTGGGCAAAAACACTGCGTTGTTTCAAACCAGTCAGTTTGTAAAAGTTGAGTCAAAATATGCACTTTATTGACAGAACGAGGCCTACATGGCAATTCCACCTAGAAAACTTACAACGATTGTGAAAGGGGCTACAAAAGACAAAACGTCGAAAAACTGGGCATTTTGTGGGCTGCAAGTACACCATTCCTTAAATTAGTACCTATTAGAATCAAGGCGCTCATCAAGAAGAAATTAGACGCATCTTATTGGGAGTGGGAACAAAAAGCGCCTAGTCGTTTCTTTGCTTGCGTCACCGCTTTCGACTGCCCGATATTCGTGGAGGTGTACTAAGACGTGGAGGAATCACAGCACAGTTGACATTTGAAGACATCTAGCAGCTACACACAGACACGCGTCCGTGATTACAGTTTGGTTCGCAAGAAGAGGCTTCATACCATTACGAGGTTTGTTGTTCTAACCCTCTGGAAATTACAAACTGAAGCTTACGTTACCCCTAAATGAGAATTCAATTTGCTCCAACTTCAACAGTTTTAAGTATTCTGGAGTAATATATTTACTTGTGGCAACATTGAAAAAAAACCAAACATAAACTGTGGTGATTTAAAAAGGAAGCAAAATCTCCATGCATAGATTTCGATGCATATCGCAATTGGGACTACTTGGGTGGTGATCGTATTGTGTCAGGTTGTAGAACAAGAACATAAACCAATAACATGCATTTCTTGATGCCACAAAACAAGAATATCAAGTGTTTCATGTCAAACGTAAAGCTGCAAAATTGTACAAATAGGAAGAAATTATTGCGATTGCAAATAACTCCAAAGCCAAACCATATAGCCCACTGAATAACGACTGCAGTGCCCTCGAAGAGCCCATTAGAATCGGAACAGTTAACAATAGTTAAGATGAAACCTACAGGAATCTTGGTGCCAGGATTTTCGCAGGTGTGAACAAGGAGCGTTTTCCAATGCCAAATTGTCCACAAACATTTTTACCAATAAATTGAGCACTTCAAGGTATTTCGCTTTGAACATTCACATTACCAATCTTAACCCCTTACTACAAATCAATTTCCAGAAGTTCCATCGAAGTGAGTCATGCTGGGCATATGACACCGTGGGTAAGGGGAAGTGTGAGATGGCTGTCGCAAAGAAGTGCCATGAAGACTGTGAAAATCAGCTTGCCGCATACTCAACCCATGGCTAAGGGGTAGGTCAGAAAGTGAATTCAGACATGAACACCAATTTGGGTAAGTGTATTTGTGCCTGTAAGTCACTGACAACCAAAAGGGAGGGTAGTAGTAAGAATTGGAACCTTGGTCAACGCGTGCGTCGCAAAGTAACGCTGTAACGTGTCGTATAGCGAGACTCGAAAAAAAGCACGACGGCTTGGTCTCTAATCCACACTATGGGGCGCGAGATAAATCCTCAGATGCAAACACTTGTTAGTCAATGTAGGATAACTGGAAGAGATGCATTAAATAAAAACAGCACAAGGATTAGATACCTGACGGATCTTGAGCATGGTACAGGATTGGTTCATTCAAGATGGGCATAATGGCACTAGCATTACATAGGCCACCACCTAGACTACGCAAAACCGTTCAATGGCAATGACAGGACAAGTAATGAAAGCAGTCGCAGAGCCAATGCACCGATGATAGGTTTCGACAGTAAACAGATGTACGAACCGCAAACTCGGCGCTGGCTCGTTCCACTCGTTCCCGATGGAAGTCGAAGGTGCGCACTCGACCGGTGGGCCAAACGGCCTGCGCAAGAGCGTGTGTCAACGCGCCACTGCCTGTTCCAGCCTCGAGGACACGAAAACCAGGCACCAGATCCAGTTGTCCCACGATCATGCTGGAGTCTGTCGGGTATATTATTTGTGTTCGGTGGGGTAGCGTCTGGGTCCAGATTACGGGGTCTAATCCAAGAATGCATACGTGACCTCGCGGCACAACGATCTACAGAAACGGCAAAACACTCCAAAAGTCAATTTTGGGGTAGAATGTCGGCTCTCGCTCTAACAAGTAAACAAAACGAAACCCATAAAAAAAGCATGCCAGGTATTCACAGAGATGGATCACGGAGGCAAGTGCGGTAATTCTAAACGGCAAAGTGTTTTGCCAACACCCGTCAAAAAGGCCACGAGCAGTTACATTCAAAACAAGTGGTGCAAAACGGGACAGGGAAAGCATGGTGGACCCTAAAAGCTAGTCATACGAACCCAATTGAAATACGATAAGTACCACTTGAACGTATTCTTTCATTCCAGATGTACCTAGTAGCTGAGCAGATGTAAAGTATATTACTTAATTTGCATCAAAAAATGTTTAATAAGAAGCAAACAACCACCTAAATGCCACATGACAAGCACTAACAAATGGGTAGACAGCTTCCAATAATAGAACAAACCAACATAACCACAAAAAAATCGCCACAGGCCATATATAACGTCGTTAGCCTCGTCGCATTGAACTTGACGCTTTTTTTGCAAACAAAAGCCGAAACATGAAAGCAGCAAGGGAATTTCACCTCCGCGTATTTTGGATGACAGTGATTGCATTTCAGTGTGGAGAAATGTGCCATTGAGGTCGGCTTCAACGCGCGGTACAGAAACACCTCGGATAATACACAAATTTATTTACCCAAGAGGAAATAAATACCACAACATGGGATTTATATGAAGTAGAAAAAAGAACCCAAAAGTCAGCTGATGTAGAGCGGTGCGGAGAATATGAAAGTATTAAAGAATTTAATTTTAATCCCAATTTTAATAAGTTGCAATTTTTCATGTCGATTTAGGTTCACTGCGTCAAATAGAAATGATATTACAGAGATCAAGTCAGATGTGCAATAATACGAATTTATTGATTTATAAGTAATCACATGGGTTTCGAATATTATTTTTGGCTTATCTAGAAGCCCTGACATGCAATCAAACGCAGGAAGTAAAAATAGCATGCCACTATCAAAAGTGATGGATATTGTTAGTTACGTTGCACCAGAATTGTTGAGTTAAAACATTGAGTTCCCGAAGCTTAGTCTAACTACAAAATCCGAGATGACACCAGTTAAAACTCCAATAGGTTTATTGGGATCGTTGGAAAACCTCTGCATGCATCCTAGTCGAAAATGAGACATTTTGTGTCTGTGTAACTCATTCAAATTCCCTGCTGGCCATGCTATGGAGTTTCACGATGTCTGACTGAGATCAGACCTGAATGAACGGAATGCTGAGTTTTATTGAAGTCCTTCTTAAGCCCCATGAAAGCAATGATTTGATACCGACGGGCTTTTAAAACCGACCACTGTGTTGGCTGAAAAAAAAAGATTTAGCATGCTGTACTATTAAGGACTTTCAAGCCAACCTCATGAGTGAATACCTGATCAGCATATGACTCCTCGTAGCTGGGACAGAACTTAAGCTGGAGCACTAACAGGGCCAAAATGTGAAAACGCACTATTCAATAACATAACGCGAGGCGCATTCACTTGAGGGGGAAAACGAGTCACATCACTACTAAATAACGCCAATACTATGAGGGTATATTAATTGGCACAAAAAGTGAAGTAAATACAGAGAGCTAAGGGTTTTTGAATGATTTAAGTAGAAACATTAAAACTAGTAAGTAGGTAAGAGGGAGAAGATTTGTACTGCCTTGAAAACGAGGGGCTGAATTAGCCTTATCCCAAGCAGTCATCTTTAGATGCAGTTGGGTACTTGAAAGAGAACGGTATACAGAAAATTTAATACCATACACTTGGAGTCTGTGGTTGAAAACACGAGCGGTACTTTAAGAATTCCAAGCGTCGACTACAACGTGCAGATATGATTTGTAAAAATGGTAAAGTATATCCACACGCCTTGGTGAGCTAAGGTAGCAATATCCGCCCGTGCAACTATTTTATGTAAACCCACTTTTCGGACAAGATGGTGAGAGAAATCAAATTTAATCGTATTGGTTTTTAACTTACTCTGCTGCCATAGGGCTTGCCGATGATCTCGTCATGTTTGAGAGCGCCAAACTTATTTTGTGTAACTGCCCCACGCACGAGTTGGATCAGTTGCGTATCACTCTTGCCGTAGGCGACTATAACTGAGTCCCCTTCAGCCGCGATATTCTTTCTAAAAGGCCTTTTAGGCGGTCGACACTGAGAAAGCTTGGTGTCTGTCATTATCTGTATGAATAATTAAAGAGACAAGGTGGCTAGAAACATAGTTGGCAGCAGCATGATATTGTTAAACTCAAGTTTTCATCTGAAAAATTGCATGCGGCAGCTCGTGTCGAAATTGTACAGGCAACAAATCTGGACTTCAACGCAGTTCCTTATTTGGGGGATATTTCCTGACCTGATTAGGGCAGAGATGACCCAGCTCAAGTTAAACAATGGAGCCACATTAAAATGTATACCGCGAGTTAGGGATAAAAATTATGAGAAAAAAATATAAAGAAAGGCTGATGTGAAGGCATGACAACCCAGTGCCGACAGCTAAAAAAATGGCACGCACAACACCATCACTTTTGTATAATAGGACTGCTATGTACCATAAATACACGGCAAAGTGTGAGGGTCTTGAGATTTATAGCATTCTAATGGACTGATCCCGATGCAAAATGAAATGACATATTCGTAATTCCAGAGTAAAAAATGGTTGAAAATATACTTTGTTTATAATGCTAAGGAACCGGTGAATAAAAATCTCGAGCATCATGTCCCAGCTCCTCAGTCCATCACTTAATTAGACTCCCTACGTACCCGACATGAGTAGAAGAAGCTGCGACGAACATTAAGAGTAGGCTAAGGTCCGAAAAATAACGATAATGTCAACGATGTTTGGATGGTCCAGTAAATTCCGAACAGGAATGTACAAACAATTAAGTAATGGCGCTAAGTAAAAAATTTCCTATTAGACCCTGGATTAAAAGTAGACTTGGATATACAAAAAACGTCTACTCCGACGTAGGGGCACCACAATACAACAGCACATAATTAAAGGACGTTGACTGGCAGACGAACCACGCACGAAAAGAGCTTCAGACCTTCAATTTTACCTTGATGTAAAGGTCATTTCAGAAAATCTTCAGGTTTTTTAATACAGTCTAAATATATGGTTTAGCTCTGCAGTCCTTAACGTGAAGTTACTAAGATAAAGTAAGAAATATTTTTTCAGGAAAAGTGAGTGATTTATGTCATGATGAAAACAGCATAGTGAAACTATAAAATCGCTATTCAAGAATTTGTATTATTTTATTGTTCCATGCATTTTTTCTCTAAAACTCATTGCTATTGCTAAGGGCTTTGTGGGCAAGAATATTGCTTAAACAATCCAATTATAAATTTTGAATTTATTGGTGAATTAATTGGTTTAAGTTTTAATTAGAAGATCATCATAAATCAAGAAAATTTTTGCTAGTAATTGAGCGAAATCGAAGTAGCAAAATATATAAGAAAAGTTAAACGTTAAATATTCTTTAATTTTGTCGTTAAAAGGAAAGGCTATAAAAGGCTGTTCAGAAGTTTAGAAATGTTCAAAATCTCACTATTCTGATTATCAACGGTCTTAGCCATTTTGCTGCAGATAGTGATAAGTCTACTTTTTATTGCAAAGAAAAGACGAGCTTCGGGGAAAGGGTTGTATCATAGAAGTAGAAGAAATGTTAAGGAATTAAACGAAATGTATATTAGCGGAAGTCACAAAATCACCTTTGTTTTGGTATTTCGACCACCAACTACTGAAAAAAGCTTAAAAGGTATTAAATGGGCATATTTAAAAGGCTTTTTTATAATTTAGTTCAGACTTTTAATATTTTAAAGTAAAATCAAGGAAGAGGCAGTTGCGTTTTGACGCGATTTGGTCATTCTTGGTAACGTTCAACAGATAACAATTATCTCAGAGCAATTGTTTCTCGTTGCACATATTCATAAACTAAGAAGAATGAGTTAATTTTAGGGAAAGTCTTCAATTACCACCACAGGGTTAATTCGGAAGAAAAGCACCTTGATGCCAACCTACCCTTTAAACTGTTATGTTTTCAAAAACCTTTTTTTAAAAGTTGCTTATTGAACCTTTTTTTAAAATATTAATTTATTTTATATCCTAGACATTGTTATAATGGTTAAAGTATATTTATTAATTAAAGCCCGGTTTTATGATTTCAACTCTCTTCCGAGTGTTAATTATCAATTTAAAGGGAATATTGGTGAAAGGACGGCATCCGTGAATGGTGAATCTTACAACCCGAGAAAAAGTTCGTCAGCCTGGAACCCTTTTTGCTAATGCTCGTTACAAATTTGCGATATTTTCTTCACTGGTCAATTATATATTGATTGTGACTGCCTTTGTCACTCCGTATTGGCTTCAGAGATGGCCTCGCATTCATACCCCATTCCGACGTCTTGGACTGTGGGAATTCTGTCTCGATGGCTATATAGCTAGGTTAGATCAAAAAATGGTGTCTCACTTCGAATGTTGGTGGATATTTTCACCCTACCTTGCGGAAATTTATACAAATCTGGTTCCTTGTAAGCAAATAAGTTTTAAATATTTTAGGGTGGTTTGTGATCATCCAGGTGCTTTTTAGCATAGCGCTGTTTATCCAGGCGGTCCTTCATTTCGTTTTTATATTTTATTGGTGCTATCCAATTTCAAACATTGAAAGACGCTTACGTTTTTTAAAATTTGCAGCTGTTTGCCATGGATTAACCCGTAAGTGCTTTTGTTTTGTTTTTCACTTTTTAGTTTTATGTCTGTTGCCTTCAATAATAATTTTTGGAGTTGAGCATCAGAACCCAAATTGGATGCCTTACCCAACATTAAACTGGGCATCCTGGTCATATGGCATTGCAATTTTGGCTACGTTTCTTTCCCTTTTTGTAATGCTTGCTTTTGCATTTACTTGGAGAGAGTCTAAGAGGACTTTGGAGACGGCTGGTTACGATTTCCCAATGTCTGCTGTTCTAAGAAAACGGGAAAAACAAGCAATAATTGAGGAACAGGAAAAACAGGCAAATATGGCCCGCTTAGAGCCCGTTACAAGACAACTTGAGTTAACTGAGAAGCTTTCTAACGAAGAAGATAAACATATGACTGTTAATGAAGAGCCTGATGGTGGAGCTTATCGGCGATTTCGCGATCCAAGACTTGGTGGTGCTATTTTTCACGACCCCTGAAATATGCTTGCCACTTAATATTGTTTTGACTAATTGCAAATTAAAAAGGTTTTTTTATTGCTTAATCCTTGGTTTCGTAATAGGGAATCAATGGCTGTATTTTTTGACAGTTTTATGTTTGCTGAATCGTCCAATTTTATGGGGTATATCGCATTGTGTTATTAGTTTTTAAATTTTATTGCGCCAGAAACATTATCATAAATTTGTTTACCATTGCTCTTGATTTGCAAAATAAGGACAAAAAGAGGATTATCTACTAGCCAGTTTCAAGATTCCGAGTCTAGTGTATAATGACAGTGTCTGCCAAGCAGGGAACTGTCAAGCTGTGTTCCAATTACAGTCGTACCATTAAAGTTTACTACTGGGTACGTGGCAGAAATAGGGGTGTGAGAGGGACCTGGTGTATTAAAGACTACCGCATACAAATACAAAAGAATAAAGCGTATAGAAAGAGTTATTGTAGCAACTGTAAGATTGACGAAGACGGGAGGATACAAGTATGCAAAGTACAATTCAGGCTTTACTTAAGAGCAAGTTAAGTGTATAGTTGTAAAAAAAACTGGGTTTTCTGATTGCCTTTTTTTACGATTAACTACTTTCACATAGAATGCATAGTCTTAAACGTGAATTTTCAATTAATGGGCACAGTTTTATAACTTCTAGTAATTGGCAACTTACTAATATTTGAGTAATTATGTCCATCAGCAGTCATTACATTTACGCACATCACACAGGTGCTAATAAAGCTCCAAGAAATCCTGGTTATCTTGCTGATAAAGCAAAATCGGATTACTACGCAGAAGTATGCAGAAAGGGGGCCCTTAAAATGTACTTTGATTGCACGGAAAAGCTTTGATAACATTTTACGACTCACTTGGCCTTTTACTGATAAATGTTTACGTTTAATCAAGGTCAAGAGATATGTAGGATGATTTGGAATCTTGTAAATTGGAACGGAATAAGCTGATTTCAGAAATATAAAAGAACGTAAGTCTTGGTTTATTGGCAACCACTATGTTTCCAGTGAGATGCATTCAAGTTCGTCAACGGCTCCTACTTAAATTGCCGCATTATCACCTAAAGGTCCGCACTCTTACTGTAGCAGTAAAGCTGTTGAGTTTTGCGCTGTCGACGGACTTTTTTCTGGCAGGCCAGTGCCCGCGTAGATCGCCGGCGCTAGTATGGTTTGCATACCAAACCGAGGTCTCCTACCGTTTTTTTATTATTTTACGTAATTGCTGATAATTTTTTTGGAAAAGGCATCAAAAAATGCCAAGATGTGGTACCGTTTTTTAAAAAAACCCTCCCAATACATGGAAACACACCAAAATTGCTCATGTTGCATGCCGATTCGTTTTGATTTTTGGTCACTTAGACGAATCGAATTAATAAATTTCCCTGATTTGCAGTGAAAATTGAAAAAAAACAATTCGATAATCCATCACTTTTGTGCATTCGTTATGCATTACACACTTTTGAGTGTTGCCACGTTTCAGGATAATTTGTGCAATGCTGGGGCATTTAACTCTAATCGTTTATTTTCACATCCAACTTTGGTTATCAGTCGACATCAGGTGTTGCTCTGTGGATGGACAAAAATCACGTGAAGCCTCAGAGGTAAAACCGTCGTCTATGTCCCTTACCTGTTTTTGTTGCGTATTTATATGATGAATTGTGTATCGCCATTAGTGATTTCCCCAAAATTTACGAAACAGCCATCATTGATCCCATTAACCGAGACCATTTGAGGATGATCTATCATAATTGTTCTTATATTTGTGTCGTTGAGTCAATGAAAGCACGGTGGGAATAAATTGCAGTGAGGTGACATGCTTTAACTGCTGTGCCAATTTTAAGCTACATGACGCTGAAACTCATTTTTCGTGTAATTATTCTACCACCTTTTAATGTGCTACTTAAGAAATTACAGTGGGTCCTTGATTTGAATTGGTCAAGGTGGTTGAATGGGCGAAGCATATGTCAGTACTAATACGTGGCTTAGTGTTGCGTTGGTTTTTAGTTTCTAGAACGTGATTTTGCTCAAAGGTCTCAATTGCACGTGACAAAATTACCTGAGTGAAGCCGTTCGGTTTGTTAAAATGACCCCGAATGGTGAACATGCATCGACGAGGGAAACAATTGTTTGTTGTTTCACTAAACCTGAAAATGCCAAAATTTTCACGGAAGGTGTTTTCGCGTTATTTTGAAACATCCACAACTCTGACATTGTCCTCCGACTTGTCAGTTAGGATTCATCAGATCGTCAGATCAGTTACTATGTCTCTTGTCGTTTTCCTGAAAAGGTTTATAGGCAGAAAGTTTTGGACTTCTTTAATATCTAGCTGGAGTTAAACTTAGTTGTGGTGTTCATTCATACTAAAAACCACACACAGTTTAGTTAGATGCATCTATTTTGACATTAGAACTACAATCTCATCTGACAGTCAAACGTATTCCGTTGAAAGATAGTTTTGCTTGACGTGAGAATGTTAAAAGAACAAAATCTTTGAAATTGACAACAAACTGAGAACCTCAGCCCATCCAGTTTCTTACCTACTACCAGCAATATTCGTGCAGCGAACACTTACCGCAGGCACTTTGTAAATTCACTAGGATACACCAGGTATGTAAAGGTAGGTGGCCAATAGTACGACATCTACATTGTTTTCGGTCGTGTAAACATATCCACAAACTCATAGCTTCATTCTTAATTGAATTGCTATGATTCGAGTTGATTCACACTCCTTAAGCCCGTCACTCCAGCCTCCGACACAGGGTTCCCCTTCTCGCAGCATGTCGCTAGCCCCGCGGATTCTCAACTCCCCCCTCATTCACACGGATATTTACCTTGAATTATCCTCACACCTAGGTGTAGATGTCAGCGCATGTATGGCTCACACATCCGAGGTATAAATACACACGCGCACACCCCGCACACGATGCAACAACGTAAACGTGGCTGAGCTCTCGAGTGAGAGGCTGTCCGGTCTTTTTAATTATCGCGTGTATCAGGGAAGCGTAACCAGGCCAGAGTAAATTCAGTGGCCCTGGCGTGGTTCAAGATCACGTGCTGGGGCCCACAACATAACTATAGAGATGACTCAGCACAAGTCAATTATGATTATTCTGCCACTCACGACAGCAGACGAGCTTAAATTTAAATTAAATGAATTCTAAACTCACTAAGACAGTTCTTGTGAGCCAATTAATTTCTGTTCAGTTAGACGGATTACTTATACGAAAACATTAGATCAGGTTAAAGTGGATGCTTCCAATGTCATTAACTGATGCTTACACTGGGCAGTTCTGTTGAGCGAATGCAGCACGGCCGGAAGTGGGTGAGTAAACACAGATACCTCTGTGTGCACAGAGGACGGACGAGGTAGGAAAGTGGTGATTAGACTGGTTTAACACGTGGCCACTTGCAAGTCAAAGACACATTAATTAAATTCTTTGAAAACTTTCAATTGGCGAAATACTTAATCTACTAATTGGCTAAAGTAGGCATAAAACCGTTGGCATAGCAAAACTAGGATTGTCTTGTATTTTTGCTACTGAGTCTTCATTGCCGTGTAAAATCCACCCATGCTAAAATAGTTTTACAGAAACAACTTGAGGTAAAGGCAATGACTAAAACGCAGGCTGCGAACGAGTTCACCAATTTTATTTGAAAGTGAATTGAACAAATTAGCTTTGTTTTATCAGTCTAAGTGTGCGGATGCAGTATCCTCATCGTGCACTTTCCTGAAGTCTGCCGTACGTGGAATGGTACTTGGCAAGATTAAAAAGACAGGTACTGGCTGCTTGAATTAAAAGGGAGAATATTCGGCGTGGAGGTTGAGCGTTCAGCTTTTGTACATTCTAGATGGTCCTTTGGCATGTTCACGCAGACTCGTCAGTTTGACTTTCTCTGTTACATGACATCTTGCGAAATTTTCTTCCATCACGTTGAAGTAACTTTTGTAACTTTGAGAGACTGACACACTTCTATCGGTGAGAATAATTTAACTCACAATAAATGGTGGTCATGATATGCTTCGCGAAGAACTGGTGCAGACCTCAACAAATCGAAGACGCTCACGTCGTACGGACAAGTACCCGCATGCAACAACTCACACCAACCCACAAGGATGGGGAACCAGGTGAACACCAGACGACGACGACGACGACTACCTGGCTTGGGACACAGCCGACACCTCAGTCTTCCCCTCTCCTGGCTTGGCCCTGTGGCAACTCTCTCAGCTAGCTCACACTGTTTCAAGCTTTGCCTACTGAACGAAATCGGCAATGATTTTGCTTCGGACTGGTTGGATGTCACGATTATGTGATTCCCCACCTTTTAGCGATGTTTATTTCAAATATCTGGCGTTTTTGTATGTGTCGAAATTCTCCAAAACAGGGTTTTGATTTGTTACAGCGTCCTTCAGGCGTCGAAAGTGTTTGATTTTCCGTGTGGGGTTTCGGACTAAGGATATGTTAGCATTTAGCAGTCAATGGAAACTCGTTTCAACAGATTTATCGCTGTAGGATCGGTGACCTCGTGACCCACATAACCGGATCGCAGTGAAACAGAGAGTGTGCCAGCGTCCACTTGCCTTCTCGCTGGTTGGGAATGACTGGATTGTGAGGTAGATGCTTAGTGCCACAACTCCGGGCTGCAGTGGCTGCGCATTGATGCGCTTGAATTCGAGCATTGATGCGACTGTGGAAGACCCCAAACAGAAATCGCACTAACCATCACAGTTACTGTTCTATTTTTGTCCTATTTTTTATCACCGTGGTGGTTTACATTCAAGCCAATATTTAAACACCCCAAGTGCCGTTTATGCACGCGACCCAAAGAGAGCTACAAGATCTTTTCATAAACTATGTTTTGTCACAGCTATATATTGCTTTGCCTGCTATCATTATTAATAGAAATTACGAATTAATGGTTCTCTGGGTGCATACAATTGACTTGTTTGTTGCCACATAGGGGCTACCTACCGTGGGGTCTAAAAGACCGGATATGTGGTCGGTTATGACTAAAATGAACATTTTTCTGCCTTCTAGTACCTCAAATTGGCTGTAGATCGGTTGCATTAACTGGACCCGTGATAATAATCTGTATCCTTAAAATATGGATTTAACACAAAATGCAAATGTTTACAGATGATGCAGCCTACTTTCTTTTTGGGTGGACAACTTTTCAGAACAGCTACATTCAGTTAATTAAACTTAAGATGGGTTACTAAGCGGAAATATGAGGTTAACCTGGTACCATAGAATTGTAAAATAAACAGAAGTATTGAACTTCTCAGAATCCTTTGTAATGCATTGTTCCATTACAGGTGCGATTAAAAAATCATATTATTTTTGCTAATATAGTGACATTGAAACCGGTAACAAAATGAAATTATCATGATAAGAGCAGGAACTTGTTTAGCACATGCGCATTTTGAGTTTTCCCTTCTATGTGAAAACAAGAAGTTGATATAAAATTGGCCAGTAGTTTGCGACTCTCGAGCACTAGTGATTGTGAAGTTAAGGGAATGTCGCGCTGCTGGCCCGATCATTTCACACAGCAGTGTTGAGAGATAAACATTCACTCCTTCATTAACCTACGCAACTGTGCATTCGTGGACATAAACATTGGAGATATCGCTTAGAATCGAAGGCACTTTTACGCTGTGCTTAAATCTAGGCACCGTATTGCATAAACACTGCAAGCCATTTTGGAGGAAACGTGGATGTAAACATCCGTTGCATTCGGACCAGGCCGCCTGGTGATGCATTTGAGAAAAGTCAGCCATTATTTGCTGAGTGGCGGACAGAGACCACATGTGTGGGTGTAATCGTGCTACAGACACTCAACGCAAAGCGCTGCAAAGGCGAATTAGCTAACTCCTGGACAAGTAATTACTTCAAAGGCTCTGCTGTCCGGCATGTAGGTGGTGTGGCCTGGTTTGTTGTGGGAGCGCTCACGCTAATAAGATTTGCTTGCATGAATTAAGCCTAATAGCGCGGTAAATAACTTCAGATTAAAACAACAACACTTGCAATTAAATACTGCTCGACTTTATGGAAGATATTTCAAAAAGAGTACTTTTACGTAGTTTTAGTAGTTACTTATTTCCACAGACTTTTATTGGAGTGCACTAGGAAAGTTTGAGGATATCCTTTATTTTTTTTGTAAGCATTGTTGTTTACATTAAAGACTCAAATCGGCTTACAAAATTGTTTCCTTACAGGAATTTGAGATATCCATGCGGATCCAGGAAACACTCAATTCTTCTGCTTCGGTACAAATCTGTCTCTACACTTGGTCCTCAAGGCACCAGCCAGCATCGAGACTTAAGATAACCAGTTTCTTTTTGCGTCAAGGAGGTGTTTTTCACTTAGAATGAGATAGGTGATTATCGCTGGAACAAAGGAATCGAGCGGAAACTTTACTGTGGGAACCAGCACCGATCTAGGCCCACGATGCAGACCTTGTGTAAATAAGTTGCTCATGCACCCGAACTTGAAGTTGAGAAAAAGAAACGGTCGTTTTGGATTGATTTGGGCTACTTGGAAGCTTAAAATCTGATTCGCAACCACGGCTTCTTTGAACAGCTGTCCTAATTGTTGCGCGCGTGTGTGTTTTTGCGATCTGTTAACTCAAGGCTTAGGCAAGTTGCTTCGGATTGACTTGTACTGTGTTGCCAGCTTTAGACACATTTACCATTTCTGCCATTCAAATATACATGAGACACTTTTACACATAAAATTACATGCTTGAGTTCATCAACAAGTAGTCAAGCCCCAAATTAGCAAATAAGCAAGCGACATATTGAATTTTTGAAATAATGTCCTAACTGCATAAGTGAGCATATCACAAGGCATAATTTAACAAAGAAGTCAAAACAATGTACATACTACTCATGGGTAATCAGGCACCCCGCCGTACTAGTGACAGGATAAAAAAGAAACTGGGTTATTAGGCGAAATGAAGTACGGTCTCAGTGGCCCTGAAGGCAGTTTATATCTACTGTTAAACATCATTATAAATTTTAAGTTATAGTGAAATATGTATAAGTCGAAATTGGATATATGTGCTCATAAATAGGTACCTATGACGAACAACAAATTAGAAAGCATGGGCAGATTGATTTTTCAATTTTTGCACCTCGTCGGGGGACAGGAAGCCCGTGTGTTTCTTCTGAATTTGACATCTAAAAACGAATACAGGGGGTTTTCAGAACTGGCAAAGCCACATTGGTTGTGCTATTAAAATGTAAATTTCACTATTTAACATAGAATGACTTATGTATGGTGGGATGTAGGGTAAAAATGGCAGAACTTAAATACAAAAATGTTTCCTGACCTACCCACAAACTTGGTGACAGTAACATTCATACAAATAAATAGAAATTGGCTAGGACTATCACTATCAGATAAATGTGCCTATCACGTTCAATTTTTTTATTTCAACATAAAAAACTTAGAATCATTACTAAATAAAATTCGGGTTTCATCATCTGCAGAAACGTAATGGCTTGGTTCAGCGTTATTATGAAATGTACTAAAATTATAGGAAAATTTTAAAAAAAACCGTTACAGATTAGGGTGCTAGACATTTTAACCGTTTATATTTGTAAGGCTCCTTTACTTTACACGTGGAACAGGGCGTTAACTAATAAGGTTATTCAAATGTTTCTAAGAAGGCAATACAACTTGTAAGTTATTTTAGAAGAAAACAACAAATAGGGTGTGTATGAAGTCTTGAAACAAGTCATTTCTGTGAAAATTCGGATTCCAAGGTATAATACAAAGAGATTTTGTATTTAATCTTTACAAAGGTATTAAGGAGGAAGCGACACCCTATAAATTGTGGCCAATTTTATTTCTGACATTAGTAGGGCTCTACTATAAACATTACCTATGCATGTGAAAAATGCTGAAATTTGCTATAATTCCCTGTTATTTTGAAAAATGTTTGAAGTTACGTATATTTAGTGAAGAAAATGGAAAACGCCTTGGAGGGAAAAGATATTTAATTTAGTATTTTTGAGGTTGACATTCATGGCTTTCAACGACGACTTATACAAGATTATCGGGATCAAAACGTATCCTTATTTTTGCATCCAAAAGGTTAGAATAATGATTTTTTGAATTTCCCAGTAAATAAACCAATTTCTACATTATGCTATCTGGATCTAGCTATTCCGTTTTCTAGTTATTATGTTGTCTACAACAATGAAGCCCATCAAGAATTTTAATCAAAAACTTAGATTAACATTCTAAGTAGTTAAATGTTTGCTGAAAAGAACATTCGGCATGATAAAGCGATTTTTTTATCTTATTATGTAAAAGAACTGTTTTTGCTGGTTACTAAAAACTCCAGCAGTCAACAGCCAGCCTAGTGGGGCCTTAAATCACGACATTGAGCGATTTCCAAATGTGCTCTTGTGTTTGAACTTATAAGACTTTAAATTAGATTTTATACTGATCGCAACCAACTGTTGACCTTCAGGGTTTTTCAAGAGGTTATATTTAAAAATGAATAAATATGTGAAGTGAAATAGGCGAAATGAAAATTTCAATTTTCACCACTATCTCGTGAGCGTTTTGAGAGACGTGTGGCAGTTCAGAATGCATTTTTCAGAAAAGCTACATGTGTTTAATTTTCCGACTGTTTAAATCTCCTGAAGAGTTTGCTGAGTCTGCTGCAGATTGTGATGCTGTAAAGCCACCCTACATATTCGATTTAAGTCAATGTGACTTCGAGATTTCCCTTAATAGTCGCGGAGTACTGTAGCGCCTTGCATGGATTGCGTAACCGTGCAAAAATAAGTTATCAAAGCACTAATCTTGGATTACTTAAAGTTGTTACCATGAAATTTAAATGAAGGTCGAGTTAAATAAATTTAAGCAACTCAAAACTGCTAAATTTCACGCGCTACTTTCAAAAGAAGGGTGGATCAATCAATTCCAGATTAAGCGAGACTATAACGAGAATGCGCAATTTGACCCTACACTTAAATTACTAAATTAAATAGTGTTTACCGTGCAAGAAAAAACACAACTGGCCTAGATTAGGTGGTTTTAAACCTACCCCCAGAGCATTGCTGAACACTTAAGTTTTGTGCAAGCCGCAAAACTGTCTTCTGCGACGGCATCTCTTCGGTTCTCGTTTCGGAGACAACATCTTCTCAAAAGCGTCATAATCTTAGCTCTATTTTTTTGGTAGTCCACCCACATATCCTTGGCCTTGTCGTTGCACCGTGAGTTCATTTGTGAGCACTCTTCGACGCAGGCCTTGAACCGATCAAACCGCTCATCTGCACGAGTAGTTTGGGTGTGCGAAACCAGAACAAGAACCGAGAAAAGGAAACACCAGGCCAGAAGCCCTTTGGCCATGGTTTCAACCGCTTCGAATTTCGGGAGCCGCGGCTTTAACGTGGTGCACTTTATAAAGGCCTTGTGTTTACAGCGGCGGTGTTATTTATGTACTGCGGGTACACATGCATTTCGCACACAAACCAACTGCAGATTTTCTTCACATTGAGCAACTAAGTTCAGGCTGGCTAGATATCGGCATCCGCTTTGCCTTATACAAGGCCGACCATCGCGTAGGTCGCAGGATGATTACCACCAATCCTTTTTATGGGATCAACACGTTCAACGTTTAATTTTGATGCGCTGAATTTGAACCGCGTTATCACCTGTAGCTTGTATAAATTTATGCCCCCGATTTAAACTAATTACCTGCATTTCAAAAAGGAGTCTACCTAATTTTAAAAAAAAAATAATTTGAAAAAAATCGAAACATTTGTGGCATTTTTTTAAATGAAATTGTGCACTCTGCTGGATAGTCAAGCATCTTAAATGAATTTTAAGTTGCATCATGATCTGAAACTAGTAAAATATATTTAACTTGCCATGGATCTTCGCTCTACATTTTTCACAATAAGCCTTATATTAAAATTAAAAATTAAAATTCAAAAAAACAAGGTAAATTAGATAAACACTTTCTATCCGGGGCATGATTCAGTCCACTCTAAGTACGAGGAAAAATTGTCGGTGTGATCGCAACGATATAAATACACTGCTCCAGATGAGGAGTGCCGTTAGTACATTTAGAAAGGGCATTAGACAGGGTTACAAGTAATAGCAAACCGATTTACATTGACAAGATTCACAAAAATGCACGCTAGCGGGCACGTAAAAGTCTATTTCCAGACGAAGATGTGTGGTTTCTCTCTTCTTCTCTGAAATGACGCTTCGAGGGCAAAGCAAGTGGGTAGGTCTAGTAGGTCCTGATGTTATAGCATACCTTTTCTCTAGACTTTATTGCAGGAGCTCTGTCAAAAAATGTGTCCGTAGATGAATGAAAAATCACGACGTTGACCAATTCAACGCCTCCATTTCGATTCACTTCTTCGGTATTTTTTGTTGACATGGAGGGTTTCGGTGCATCCACCAGTTACTAATCGGTGTTACTTGATTTACAACAAGTGTTTGTGTGAACCGAAGCAAAATTTTAAGCAAAATATACAGTGACGGCATTTCCATAGTGCTCGGAGTTATTAATCAAATTTTTAAAATACACAATGTTAAGTTTGCAGATTTACCAAGATGGTAAATATTGAAAAATTCTTTTGGGAAAGGGATTTGGTACTGAAATTGTAATTTCATACTAAGCTATATCAGTCACAGCTAACAATACATGCACTAAATAGGGAGGTGATTCTTTAATGCGTGGGTTGGGAACATAGTCACAGAGACTGCCTCAGAATAAGTTACATACATGGGAACCTAGTGCTACGCAGTGCACTTGATTCTGCAACCGAACGAGTTCATTGACTCATTAAACCTCGTGAACGGGCTATGTAACTCAAATTGCTGAGCTGTTTGTTATGCTTCTCTAGTCAATTTGGCATTTTGACAACTCATCAGAGGTGATCTGTAAATTGCTATTATGAAGGCTGAATGTACTTAAGCAATGGTTTCAATGTCATGAATGTGCATGCATCGGAATACCCTAATACCGCCTGTGGTGCGGGCATAAAAGAATCAAAAGTAGTACTGACTAACCCCCACAGCATCGCCCCGCAATTTATCCTTGCACAAGCACCGAAACTATCATTTGGATGCGCATCTTCGCGATATTCGTTTCGTAGACAACACTTCCGCAAGTGGCGTGTGATCGTCTTCCTGTTCGAAAAGAAATCATCCCAGAGGTTTAGAATGGCTTTATTGCATTCTTTATTTATCAGAGAACAGCGGTTTATGCAGTCCTGGAAGCGTTTGAATATTTCTTCTTGAGTAGCTGCCAGGGCTGCCTGCAGACTGAGTGAGGCCAAAAGAATCAACGAGATAACGGTAATATTGACAGCCATCAAACACCTCACGCTCATAGCTTGTAGCAAGGCCTTAACCGCTAAGTGCAATACATTTTGAATGACCTGGTCTATTATTTATACCATCAAGCAGTTGTTTTGATCGTCTGTCATGTTTATACCAAGTGGCTAGGTTTTATGGCAAATGGCAGGCACTTGATATGAGTATTTTGGTAAAATTCTCTGACAGCTAGTGTAAACGTTCAAATTTTTAAACAACTTTTAGACTTCACAGACCTAGCTCTAACCAAAGTGTTCCATACCTCGCAAAATTTTAGTTATGGAAAACTAGGTGATAAAAATGCTTATTGTAGAAATATTGATAATGTTGGTGAAGGAGGTAATGGTGTTGGTGGTGGTGATGAACTGGTTAGAAACTGAACCAGTAGAGCTGCTAAGAAATTTTGAGCAAAGTTGCATTTATCCACATTTGATCATGCTCATACATTAGATGTATGACCTAATTTCACACAGATTTATTTAACATAAAACCTAGGGGACATCGAACTTTTAAAAATATTGCCCCGTTTTTTTATGACCCTGCGCCAACTCTCATGTAACTTGAGAATGTCGTTGCCACATTGTCTAGTGTTTTCAAATGTTCATCCATTAAGGCGTGCTGCTTCACTGACCGGAGAAAATGGTAGTCGGATGGGCCAAGTCTGGCGAATATGCTGCGTGTGGCAGGACTTCCCATCCCAAGTTCAAGAGGATCTTCTGAGTTGCTCGAGCGACGTGAGGTAGAGCGTTGTCATACAGCAGCATGGTTTGCCTGCTTCCTTGCCCAGTAAGAGGCCTTTCCTGGTCAAGTTCTTCGCTTGGTTTGTTCAAAAGACGGCAGTAGTGCTCCACAGTCTCCGTCGGACCAGTTTCCAGGAGATTATAATAAAGTACACCCTCCATGTTCCACCAGATAGACAGGATAACCTCCTTCAAGTGGATGTCCTGTTTCAGCATAGATGTACTGGGCTGTTCGGAATCTACCCACGACTCTCAAAAATATACTTTTCCTCACCCGTCACACTTTTCACAAGAAGTACTTTGTATGCTGACGGCGTGAAAGCAGTGAAAGGCGTGTGTTTATACCTTGACGCAGGTTGTCTTTAGAAAATACATGTGGGAACCAACTTTCAAATTATTGAATTTATCCCATTTGGTGCAAGCGCTTTAAAATAGGAGCGTGGGTGACTTCTAATGTGCAAGCTCTTGCTGTGTTTTCATCCAGTGGAGCGTTCGATGCATTCGCCCGTGCCTTAGAAGCATTTTTTCCTTGTTCTTGGAATTCGTATAAAATGCATTGCCATCGAATGTACTGTTTATCAGTCGCAGTCTAGTACTCTACTATTTTGGGAAATTATGTATGACACTTAGACTTGTCATTCGGTGTTCTAATACCTAGTGTCCGATCCTTTAACATTCACAAAAGACAGCACAAATACTCCAATTTTAAATATAATTTTAGGTTCACAGAAAAAATCTTTTAACAATAGTTTATGCGCCTAAAATTGTCTTGTCTGTACTAAATACTTTGGTGTGTACAATGATGGATAAGTGGAATTCGCTTGATGCATTCACTTTGCATTTCCCTTTATATGTGAACTTATAATTTGCTTCTCCAAGGCATTCCTATTTCAAATTCATTTGATAGAATCCTTTATTGGTTTTATTTTAGTGACACTTGCACATACCTCCGTCAATGTTGCTTTTGGATCTCATCATTTATGGTACTATTCCAAGCTGATTTTTTGGGAGAAATCAAACCGATTCATTTTCGCCGCAATGTCACAACCAAATAAAGTGGATGGTTGAATGATGTCGAATATTCGTTTTCAGAAAAACCACGACAAGGAAACCTCATGAACGGGTGTAATTCTGTTACTCTTGGAAGAAAGCAATGACAAATGCTATCATTAAATTAGTATATGATATTTCCTTCCCTAGCTATCTTTAAGTACCATAAACGCATTCATCGATTGTGAATGAGTAATTTTAATAAGTAGCTCTGGAACACCAACAACTAAGAAATGTATGAGGTGGAATTTTTCAGCATGGTGGCATAGAGTATTGAGATTTTTTGAAGTTAATAAACTTCCTTACTCGTTGCTTGAAGGCATCAAAAAGTGGTCAACCCCTTTACCTTACCTCAATACGGAGCAAAGTTGTACAATCTTTAGCCTACCTGGTGAGTTAAGAACCCACAAATTGCTACATTAATGCATTCTGTAACCAAATATCGCAAAAATTGTGTTCCAGCACCCAACAGAAATGTTAGACCATTGTATTAAATGACAACACTGCGGCGACTTCCATTTATCTGTTTCTAAAACCAGTCGCCTCAAAATTGAGAAACCTGAAAGGCATTGCTCGCAATTGAAGGCGAATGAGCGGAAAGTTGTTTCTGATTTCATTTATTAACATGGCATTTATAAAACTGCTTACGAAACTTCTCTTTTTGACCAAGATAAATAGGAAACAATGTTAAAGTTTATAACTTTTAAAATGAACAAGAATAAACTATTCAATAAAAAACTGTTTTTCGGCCACCCTATTGAGAACCCAAAATCAGCGATTTAAATAAATCTGCCATCGTGTGTTCAAAGTATAAATTAAAAACATGTACTCGGAATTGATGTCTTGAACCCATACAATGTCTGGTAAGTCAAATTACGTCTATACCATAACGAATGATAAAACCTTCGGTGGCTTACATAGCTAAAAACTAAAAAAATTAATCCACAGACTAATATTCCAAAGAAATATCAATTTTTCAATTTAAAAACATAATAACTGAAGGGGTTATGATTCTCTTACAAGGTTTAGGCAAGTCAAATGCATTTTGCGAGTGGAAGTTTCTATACACAGCAGTTATGAGGGTTACATTGCCTACTCGAACCTCAAGTAACTACATTTGTACAAACGTTAAAGATTTAACTATGAACACACATTCTTAAATCAGGAGGATCATTTGATTATTTCATCGATTTAAGGAAGGAATATTTAAACATAATATTTCATAACAGATAATAACCTTGCAATTTAATTACAGCAAAACTACGTAAATATTTTACAGTTTAAAACCCCGATTTGCCAAAATAACACAGAAGGCAGTGTTGCACAAGATGCAGTCTACAGGATGCGGTCTACGGTCATTCATATTCAAAACAAAGAAACACAAAATTTTTAGGATAATTGACTTTTATGAATAAATGTGCTTTTTTACTGTGTAATAGGGAGGCAATGGATAAAAATTTAACGCACTCAAATCTCAAGCGCTACTATATATGGGCAGCCATATCAAGTCATTAAAAAGTCAAAAAAAAACAAAACCAGAAATAGAGGCATAAGTAAAGAGCAAAAATAATAATCAAAATTGGGTTACATATCTTGAAGATATGTGAGAATTCGGCAACAAGTGTTTCCAAGGCCAAGGGCATCCGCGCAATGTAAGAAAATGCAGGAAAAATAGTCAATTTGTTGAAGCCAAATGGAACCTAATATCAATCATACACGAAAGCTTACTATATATCTGATTTTGTATAATTTCTTTTCAATCAACAATTCTGCTAGTAAAGGCCTGCCACAAAAGAAGAGACCATCGATTACCTTTACAGTGTGAACGAAATTCTGCTCTAATCATGAAGTACTCTCCTACTCAAGACACTTCGACGAATGACTGCTCAATTCCAATTCGACAACATGACTAAGCATGAATACACGACCAAAATTATGCAAGATATCTGCGTGCTCAAATCGGGTGAAAGACTTACTTCAGCTTAAATGGGCAGCACCATTAAAACTAATTTTGATTTTTCCGAAATTAAACAAAGATCCAGCATATTATGCAGATAAGTATGCCACCTCTTAAAATCTGCTTAATGTTGGGTAAATCCTTGCATTTGAAGCAGCACACCAGATTAATTTTAATCAAAAATATTTTCACAGGCGGCTTTTACCGCAAACCTTATTGACTGTTTTTAAGATAAGACATTTAATTCAATTCATAAAAATTAATCAAGAAAATAATTTTACGGAAAGCGCAGTTTAAAATATTTGTGTTTAAAATACCTGATTTAAGTCGAATTGTCAAGGTTGCGTGTGTGATTGTTAGCCCGTACCTTTGTAGAATACCCGAGCCCTAATAGGAAAAAGACCGGTACAACAGAACAGGCTTTATTGTCCAATCAGACGCCAGAGTCACGCGTCAGGCGCCTTCCATCCGAGTCCGCCACGATGGCCACGCCGCTGATTATATACTACACCTCAGTCGTGTCCTTCTCTGGTTGGCTGCTTATCTTTCTCACATGCCGTTGGAACGCAGACTGACACAGGATTGGCTGCGGCCAGGTGGTCCAACATGTCTGCGCCCTGATCCGACGTCACTGTAGAATACCCGAGCCCTAATAGGTAAAAGACTGGTACAACAGAACAGGCTTTATTGACCAATCAGAAGCCAG